TTAATTTTATAGGACTCAAAAGATAGTAGATCCCATGACATTTTTTTAAAAGAGGTGAGTTTAAAGGGCTAATTTATTTGAAATTAGTAAAGATCAATCCTTTTTAGACTAACTAATAAAATTCAAAACATGATAAATACTTCATTTCTCTTCATCAAAGAACATATTATTCTTCTAACACTAAAGTCACTAAAGAATAGATAAATAGGAATTACAATTTCTGTGTCACACTAAGGTAGCACTCCAAGCAATAATAGGGTCATAAAAATTATAATGGACAAATGACATCCTTGAGTGAAACCAAATTTCTTTAAAGTGAGGTCAATCTATGAGATAATAATGTCTTCAAGCTTAAGAGAATACCTACAATAAGAATTTGAAGAGGTAAATCTATGATAATGGCACAAAGCATTAGTGGGCAAAGATCCATAACCAATAAGTCAAATGAAAAATATAACTTTCTCCATTACTCCTAACTTTGAGATCCAATCAAAATATAAAATATGTAAAGGATTGTATCTCAAATTGTTGAGATAAACATAAGTTGCCTTTACATAATAAGTTTTTTTTGTATCTATCCAATATCATAGATCTTCAATATATATGTTTGTTGGCTCAAGAAGTTGATGTATATAGGCTTTGATGTGGTACGAAATACAAGTGGTGAGTCGGTCCAATTTCTAAGCACCATGAATAAACAACTCACTAACTTGGAGGTTTATATTTAAAATGTGAACAAAATAAACTAAGTTAACAATTTGGACTAAGTTTAATCCAATCAAAATACCATATTGAAAAAGAATCATAACTCAGTTGGAACTTAAAATCATCTCTCAAAATGCTACATACCTTTAAAATGTTTTTCAAAACAATAGTCTTTTGAGTTTGGTTCAATAGTACATAATTGATTGTCTTTTATATATTTAATTTCTTGATTTGAACCTATAATTAAAGTATCTTGCATCGTATCTCACACAAATTTACGTATAAAAAATGTATTAACTATTCGCATATCACAAGTACCTAAGTCACCCTATTTCTTAGGATAAGTAATTTTGTCCTAACCAATCAGATGAATATCATGGTCAAAATTATTAAATGACCAAATAAAATTTCTAACTAACTTATTAATATTATGACAAACATATTATAGTTGCCACTAAATTTGCATGGGATAAATCAGAATAGAAACTAAGACAGATTTTTTCAAGAAAATTTTACCAGCTCTACTTACGTTGTTTCCTTTTCCAAGTTGTCACCATGTTATGAATTTTATCAAGTAAAAAAATAAAAATTGTTCTATGCTGACACTTTTGGCAATGGACCCTTTTTGAATATATTGCCTAGAATTTGTCAAAGTAGATCTAAAAGTTGAAGACATCTTAAAATTTTTACATAACTATGATAACATTTTGGATATGTATGTTTTCAGTTTTACAAAAAAAATAGACACCCTTAGCAAATAAGGGATAGGTAATGTTGGGATCATTTTCAGATAAAAGAATATGTTTTCATAACCTTTCCTCCACTTTTTGATTTGTCAATAAAGATATTTTGCATGCAAATAATAAAAAGAAGTGATCCCCTTGTTTAACACCCTTGATTCATTAAAAGCTCGCAAGTTGAATATTATTTTATGTAATATATAAGAAGTAGGTGACTCACACCACATAATAAGAGACATAATACATCAATATATCAAAGTCAACAAGAATTTATTAGAGAAAATTCTAACTAATTTTATCATAAGTCTTCTCTAAATTAATCTTTATGATCACTATTCATTTTTTAGTTTTTCTTCTATGCATGTAGTTCAAAATTTACTCATCATTGTTCATATCTTTTTTTTTATTGTTTGTTTCTTATAAAAAATACTAGCAACACACTTTTTAATCTATTCTTTCTAATATACTTTTAGTTATTGATTAAAATTTATAAAAAGAACTACAAAAATTATATGAACTCTACTCTTTCTCACTCTTAATTTAATAATTATCTATAATAATTTTGTAATTTTAAATAAATTTAATAATAATTCGAATTATAGTAAAAAGAGTGTTTCTTGTACTCATTTCTTCTTTTTATATTGTTCACACATTCTTCTTGTTGTTATTGTTTCTTTCTTTTCCACTTTTCCTCCTATTGTCATTATTTCAAATCATAGAGCAGATGCAAAAACGTTAAAAATTCATTAAATAAAAAATCAATTAAATAAAAAAGCTATATTTTATATTATGATTTAATTCAATTTTTAAGTCTCTGTTCTTAAAAGCGAACCAAACTATATTTATGGTAAATATACAGTCACTTCTATTTATTTTAGATTTTTATTTTTCTTAATTGAATATATTTTTTTCTCTATAAAAAATTTTATTTTTTTAATCAAATTTTTTTTCTTTTTTTTTTAATTTTTCAAGAAACCTATTTTAACTTTTAAGTTACTATTTACACTAAATTTAAAAATAGTTTAAAATTTATATAATAATAAATAAAAATTAAAAAAATTGATTCAAACTGAACTAATATTTTGTGATTATATTTAGTTTGGTTTCCAAATTATATTCAAACTTAAGCAAATCAAACCACATATTATTTTTATGTATAGTTTAAATAACTTTTCGATTAACCTAAACACCTATAGTCATTACATCCACACCTTAGGCCACCATCACTGTAAGTGATTATCTTTTATTATTGTTTCACAAATACTATTAATAAAAAGTATTCTTATACTATCATTATATTAACATTATAAATTAGACTAAACTCTCAATTTAGTCTTTGAAAGAGTTTGTATTCAGCATTTTAATTTCTGAAAAATTAAAAATATTGCTTTAGTTCTTGACTTTTAACTCTGTCGTTTATTTTAGTCTTACATTAACAAACAGTAATAGAAAATTAACATGTCATGTCAAAAGTTTAATTGAGAGAAACAATATTGTTTTGAAGGGTTAAAGAAGTGAACGTGACAAAAATGTTTTAATAGGCAAAAATAACGTTGTTCTAAGAAAAAACTTTCCATCAAACTCAAGTTGAGAAGGCTTAGTAGGGTGAACAAACTCATCCACCATTCCACCAAATACATACAAATAACGCCCAGAAGGGTTTGCACATGCACGATGAAAGGATCGAAGTTTTGGGTCATACCCACTTGATTTTTACTGTTTTCACATTCTTGTGATCATTCTGTTGGAACTCACTGTTGTTGGCTGTAGACTTATGTAAGGGATAACACTAATATCTAACACCTAAAATTCATCTTTTCCGTGTACAAGAGTCTTCTTCTCCATAAATCAGCAACCTCCCTCCCAAAACCAATGTAGCCGTGTTACCAACTCTAGGAAGGAAAGGGAATCGTACACTATTTGAAATCACCTCAAATACCCTTGACATGTATCCACATGTGTATGTCCAAATCTCTCACTTGGAATGCTTGAATGCACTATCTACTATTTCAACATTCTCCGAAAATCATTGCCAATGTATGTCATCCACATTTAGGGTTCTCATACCCAAAAATAAAAAAAATAATTAGAGTTCTATTACTCATCTAAGTAACAAAAAATAACAAAAATTTAAGATTCTTTTAAGTATAACAAACTTCAATTTCAAAATTTTCGGCATCAAACACAACTACGAAGACCAATTTTGATGAGATTTTGCAAAAAATTAGAATTCTTCTTAAAGACTAAAGAAAAAAAATGTTGTAATATTTGAGCAATTAGAGCATTTTAAAATTTCTTAGAACAATATCGTTTTTTTCTATTAAAATAATTTTGACAGGATCACTTTTTCAACTCTTCAAAATGATTTCGTTTTTGCCAAATGGGCTCATAATATGATTCTTAATGTGACATGTCAACTTTTTATTACTATTTGTTAACAAAATTTGTTTAGAGACTAAAATGAACGATAAAGATAGAAATTATGAACTAACGTAATATTTTTAATTTTTTAAAAATTAAATTGTTAAATGAAAACTATCTCGATGGCTAAAACGAGGGTTTAGTCTTATAAATTATTATAATTAACATCTCAAGTTATTACTGCTATTGAAACTTGCATGTGGAATGTGATATTCATGATGATTAAAGAGTTATTGGGAATCAAATAAAAGGGTAAGGGTAAAATTTGAAAAAAGAAAGAACGACAACCAAAGGAGACTAAAGAATGTGAGAATATATGTAGTGAAGCAAATAAAGTAAAAATGAAAAAAGCGTCCTCAACATGTAGGGAAAGAGCAGAAGACATCCGACTAAACAAAGAACACTTAAGAAGTTGAAGCAGCGAACCAGTCCTTGACACTGTAGAGTAACAAACTATTGTACCAAAACTAGAGAGCTGAGTCTTATCTTGTCTAGTGGAGCTAGCGAGTCACTCATGAACAAAGAGGTAGAAGGAAGGATGTTGTCCGAGATTAGAAAGATATCGCCTCAACCCACTCTACCATGGCTATACCATATGAAAATGGAATGCAAAGTTAAAATAAGAGTCAAGCAATGACAAAAAAAAAATAGTTAAAATATCAAGGAAGAAGAGAGATAAGACTTCACATCTTATTAATGATGATAAAGTCCAGACAAAGCCAAGAGAAGGAGATATATTCAAAGGGAGAAGGGAAAAAATTTGTGCTTCACAAATCTACAAACTCGGTTACTCACTAAATCATTTTAAGAAAGTCTATTTGAGAAACAAGAGTTATATGATGTCATGGTCAATTGAGGTTTTAAAAATTGATTTTGGTGAATGGTCGTAAACTTGTGTGATGAAAAACAGAAGATTAAATTAAATAAAAATCAAAGTAAAACAAAAATAAAATTTAAGAGATGAATCTATTGACTTTAAAAAATAAAAAATGTGGTGTTAAGTTGCCCGTTGGTCGTTGCGATGGTAGTAATGCCACCTAAGGTGCACAAGTGTTGAATGTCCGCATCAAGCCCGATTTTCGATTCACAGGACCCACGTTATTACAAAAGAAACTACAAATCAAAATCACCACCAACCTCACTCTTGCTCGCTCTCACCCACCCCCACACCCAACCCATATATTCCCCCCACCATCCGCTGTTACAACTCACCAGACACACACATATACAACAAAAACAATCATCACATCGCATTGGCCATGGCTCTTCGCAGACTCTCCTCCACCATCCCCAAACCTTTCACCAACGCCGTCTCTATTTATCGCACGGTAAACACAACTCACTCATCATTTCCTCTTTCGTTCTTTTTTTTCCCGTTTCCGATTAACACCGTGTTTGCTTGCAGTCCTCTTCGCTCTCCGCGCAAGACAGAGACAAATCTCGCGTCGATGTACGTAAGCCATTTTAGATTCTCAATAAATAACTATCGTTGCTTTTACATCTTTCCATGCGCATCAATTTTGGTTAACAAAAAAAAAACCTCAAAAAATGACAGTGGATAAAGCAGCTCAACGATCCTCTCGAGGCCGTGGATCCCGAGGTCGCGGACATAATCGAACTCGAAAAAGCTCGTCAATGGAAGGTCGATCCAAGTTTCGTTCTACAGTGTTAACCAAACGAAGCATAACGTTTTTTATTTTCTTCGTATAGTCGTTGTTTATGGACGTTTCTGTGTACGGAATGTGTAGGGACTCGAACTTATACCTTCAGAAAATTTCACGTCGTTGTCGGTGATGCAAGCCGTTGGATCGGTGATGACGAATAAATATAGTGAAGGATACCCCGGTGCTAGATACTATGGAGGAAATGAGTATGTGGATCTGATTGTGGATGTTTCGTTTCGAATTCTGAAATTTTTCGTAGATTTTAGGTTGGTGTGTTGAATTTTGGCTTAAGTTTTATAATTCTGGCATTTAGGTACATTGACATGGCTGAGACTTTCTGTCAGAAGCGTGCATTAGAAACTTTTGGGTTGGATCCATCGAAATGGGGAGGTACTTAAGCTCACTGTCGTTTATGATGCAATTTGAGTTTCTTTATTTTGATCAATAGTGTTATTACTCGTGTCAAGGCATTGTGGCGAAGAAATTCAGAACGTTATAATTTTGAGGAGGGCTAACAACATACTCTTTATTATTGGTTGATATTTATAAGAAACTACTAAATTATAAGTGGAGCTCATTTTATTAGGGGTGAGACCCCCATAATTTTGTTATTCTCAATAAATTTTAGTAGATAGTAGAAAGTGTATCAAGAAGAGCATGTTAAAGAGGTTGTTGCTAACATTCCTCTATAATTTCTGTTTGTTTTTTGTGTCCATCATTCTCTAGAGTAACGTTTAATTTTAGGATGAAGGTTCATCTCCTTCCTTTTTATAACGGTTGAGGAGAATTTTATCTTTTCAAGACCTACTATTGAATGCTTGTTTTGGGTCATTAGGTGGGACCATGCCACAATGGCTATGCTTGTACTAATTCTCTTGGTGTAGTCATCTTTTTTTGTCTTTCTTTTTTTCACTTTGCAATTCTATATCTGATCTTAGAATTTTGTTTATCAAGTGATAATCTTTGTTAGGTGTTTAATATTAAATATATTCTCAATTCATTTCTGATTGGATAGCTCACTTACTTAACATATGGACTATTCTTTTTAGAATGAAAATAATATCTAAAGTATTGTTTCTTTGTGATAGAAGTTAACTTGAACAATTGGAGAATCTATAGAATAATTAATGTTCTCCAGTTCTGCTTTTGTTACTTATAATTTTAGCATGCTTTTTGTCTTGATGGATAAATAGTTTGTTATTCTTGTGGTGAACAGTGAACTTGGCATATTCTTTCTGTGAATCATTTGTGTATCTTTTCTATTATTGTCCTTCACAAGTTGGGGGAGCAAAATTTTGATCATATACTTTCATGGGGGGTCTTACATCTGCATTTGACAGTTAACGTGCAGTCATTATCTGGGTCACCTTCTAACTTCCAAGTTTACACGGCTTTATTGAAACCCCATGAGAGAATTATGGCGCTTGATCTTCCCCATGGTGGGCATCTATCTCATGGCTATCAGGTTAAATTCTGCCCCTGATTATCAGTTGTGGTCTACATACCTGCTGTCATGAGTTGATAATCATAGCAAGTCTGCAATAAGACATGAATGAATGTTGTAGCAAATAGCAATAGCTCATCAAGCTTTTTGCATAAAAGGTGAGGGAGGAAGAAGTTTATGGATAAAAATTTTGAAACCACATTTCAACCAACAGACTTTGTGATTGAAATCTATTCTCACTAAACTGCTCTCAGTTATATTAATACAAAGGCTGGAAGCAATTTTAAAAAAATTCAATTGAGCCAAAACATTTCTAAAAATAACTGCATCTTGTGGAATTTGATAGAACAATTGAACAAGTTTGTTTTCTGGTTCTGATTCAAAGAGCCCTTTTATTTTGCAGATTAGCCCTATATTCACATTTTATTTCACAGTCAAATGATTGATACATAAGAAATTTATTCCATGCTGAACGCTCACCTGTTGGTTTTGAATTGTTTGGAGCGCCTGGAGGAATTGTCAATTGTTATATGCCAAATAACGTCATTCCTGAAACTTAATGGAACGCATGTATTAAATTATTTAAGCAATGTGTGTCTTGTTCTTTGTATTCAAGTGTTTGATTTTTTGTTTGTCATGCAGACTGACACCAAGAAGATATCAGCTGTATCTATATTTTTTGAAACGATGCCTTACAAATTGAATGAGAGCACTGGTTATATCGATTATGACCAGGTAGGTAGGTACTGTTGTATTTCTGTGTTGTGGATATTTCCTTCAAATCAAAGACAATCTTCTAAGCAGTCAGCATTAGCGCAGTATCATTTACAGTTGTTGTCACTGTCATCTTTTTCTCAATGAGTTGAACATTTTCTCATTTGATGTTTAATTATAGAATATATCAGTGGGGAAAACTATGGTGTTAATATCATTTGCCAATAAAATATTGTAGGATTATGAATTTTAGAGAAATATTGATTGGTCCCCTTTCATAACAAAGGTCTACTGTAGGGGAAAAGGAAATAGTACCAGCAGATTGGGGTCTTGTGGGTGGGTCTGTGGGAAAGGTGTGTGATCAGCATGATGGTTTGTTTTGTAACAACCTGCTTTTGTGGCAGGCGGGGACAAAGGGAAGAATCTGGTAGTGAGAATGTATTAAGAAGAGAGGAGAAGATGCTTGTTCAGATCTTTCAAAATTTAATCATTTCATGCTCAGGATCGAAATATTTTGTTCTCTTAGTGTGGTTGCTGCAGCATTCATCATTCTGCCATCTATTCTTGATAGTTACTTTAACATTTCCTTACAAATGGGAGCAAAAAATTTCTGAACATGGTGAGGGGTGAGATTCACACTTATTCACAGAGCTTGTTCTCTTTCATGCATATTGTGGATTAAAACTTGTCTATAATGGCTTGAATTATTTAATGTTTGCAGTTGGAAAAAAGTGCTGCACTTTTTAGGCCAAAATTAATAGTTGCTGGTGCTAGTGCTTATGCTCGTCTTTATGATTATGCACGTGTTCGCAAGGTAAATTATATCTGATTACAGAAACTTTGACATTTAGTGTTTGCAGCAATTTAGTGATGATATTTTATCTTTTACTTATGAATTTTATAGGTCTGTGATAAGCAGAAGGCAGTTTTGTTGGCTGATATGGCACATATCAGTGGATTGGTTGCTGCAGGTGTTATTCCTTCTCCTTTTGATTATGCAGATGTTGTAACAACCACAACACATAAGTCACTTCGTGGACCACGTGGGGCTATGATATTTTTCAGAAAGGGTGTGAAAGAGATAAACAAGCAAGGGAAGGAAGTGAGTTTTAAATTATAAATTTAATGTTATAAGGGAAAAAGGAATTAAACAATAGGGTAAAATACATTTTACCTCCCGAAGTAACACTCTTTTACAACTTACTCCTCTGATGGTTTTTTTTTTGTTATTGCTGTAGTTTGGTTTGAAGTCAAAGTCACTTTCAGTTATAAATCAAATGAACTTCAACCTCCCAACGCTTGAAGACAAACTCCAAGGGGGTTAAGGGATAAATAAACTTATTTCAATGGGGTGTATGTAATAAAAGAAAAACTTCTTGGTTGTAATGGTTAGGTCCATGGTATGCATGTTCCTTGTGTTCCTTCGGTTTCAGTAAAAAAGTGACATATTACTTAAAACGACTATCAAGGGTGTTAAGTGATAAATAAAACATCTTTTTTTTTTCTTTTTTTTCTGGGGGATGATGGGTGGGGGGTGGAATTGAGGAAGGGCTATACTTCAAGGATGTAAGATGCAGTTTATTCGACAAAATACGAGTTCCCTAGATGTAGTAGTTTTAGACAATGTTCACAAGTGTTTATTGATATGTTTTATTCAATAATTTCTTAAAGCAATTTCTCTGTATTTTGGATTTGTTAAGATCCAACATTAGCTGATTATATGGAAAAAGTATTGTTTAAAATAACTAGAATAATTCACCCCCATTAAGTTAGTTTTTTTGAGTTATGCCCGTTTGTTCTCAATTCTAACATGGTATCAAAGCTTATGCAATCTTCATGTTGAGCCATCGAGAGATGTTTAGTCCTACAAACTTTGTGCCCAAAGTGTCTATCTGCTCTTGTCATCTTGGGTGTGAGGGGTGTGTGTTAAGAGCCACATTGGTTAGGTATATCTCTGGGCAAAGTACCCCTTAATTATAATGACTTGAGTTCCAATCCCCACTTTAGCTTGCTTTTGGGTTAGGGTAGGCCTTTCTTTTTTCTTATTTATAACAATTTCAAAGTTGGGTAATCATTAATGTGAAAAAATTCTTTATTGGTTGAATTCTTCGTGCAGGTGTTGTATGACTACGAAGACAAAATAAATCAGGCCGTCTTTCCTGGACTTCAAGGTGGTCCACACAATCACACTATTGCAGGCTTAGCAGTTGCACTGAAGCAGGTTCTTTAGTTGACTAGCAAGAAATTGTACTTATTATAGAATTCTTCTTTTGCATCTTTGGTTGCCAGGCTGATTTAAGTTCAGTTATTTATTCATTTCTGTAAATGTAGGCTATGACACCAGAATTCAAGAATTACCAAAAGCAGGTTCTTAGTAACTGCTCTGCATTTGCACAGGTAAAATCAATGCTTTTGGTATTATGTGCACCAATGCTGTTCAAACCTACTGAAAACTAGTTTTCTAGGTGTATTTCTTACTAATTGTTTAGCCTTACAGATTCTACTGTTATAGCTGATTCTGCTGTGTTGATTGAATTCCAGAGTTTGTTAGAGAAAGGCTACGAACTTGTATCTGGTGGAACTGATAACCATTTAGTGTTAGTGAACTTAAGGAACAAGGTAAATGGTGTGCTCCTTTCCTCTGAAATTTTCTTGGTCATATTTTTTTTCATAATTCTTGATAGTGCCAAATTGTTTTCACATATCAATAAACCTGTTTAAACCAGCCTTTCTATGCTTGGTTTAAAACTTTAAACTTACATTATGAAAAATTGGCCAGTAGTATGAACAAATTGCCTTTAAAAGATATTTATTGGGTGAAGCCTCCTTATGGAAGATTTTAGTGTGGAACATGGAATGGTTTAATATATCGATACGTGGCAGGGATTTTTTTAATGACTATGTGTGGGATTTTATTCAGAGAATACAATTACAATCACTGGAGGATAAGATTTTATCTTTAAACAGAATATAGAAACCTGGTAGACATTGATAGACAATAAGATTTTTTTTTAATGACTATGTCTGGGATTTTAGGAATTTGCATCTAACATCTATTATTGTTATTCTGCCTACCCACCCAAACTACTAGAAACTTCTCAAACCTTAAATGAGCATCTTCTTATTAAGTTATTCCAGAACCTTCAGAGTTCAAACAAATTGACAACTTCTATGTTTGTGAAATGATCAAGTTAATTTATGAGGTGTTTCCAGTATTGTCACCAGGTACTTCGGAGATTAATTTGGTAACCCAGTTTTGTAAAAGATGTAAACTTTTTGCATTGGGTTTGATTTGAGTGTAACATTTTATAGCAGCAAGGGAAAAGCAATTTCTGATTTCGAATGTTGTGCTATATTGACAGGGCATTGATGGTTCAAGGGTTGAGAAGGTGTTAGAATCAGTTCATATAGCTGCCAATAAAAATACTGTTCCGGGAGATGTGTCTGCTATGGTTCCTGGAGGCATCCGAATGGGTATAGTCTCTATCAGTCATCTTTTTACATGCTTATTAGTGGATCTAAAATTACGTTCTAATGAAGATTATCTGGTGATTCAGGAACCCCTGCTCTCACATCCAGGGGTTTTGTTGAGGAGGATTTTAAAAAAGTGGCTGAATACTTTGATGGGGCAGTCAAGTTAGCCTTGCAGATTAAGGGAAATACTAAAGGTCGACCTTGCCTTGCCTTACCTTCCTTCATCCTTGTTTTTTATCGTGATATTTGCATTTTCGAAAGCATAGCAAGGCGTCTTAATGTACGCTAGCTCACTCTTGTTATTGGTTATGCCAACATCAGGTACAAAGTTGAAGGATTTTGTGGAAGCTATGCAATCAGATGAACAGATTCAATCGAAGATTGCTAATCTTCGTCATGAAGTAGAGGGTTATGCTAAGCAGTTTCCCACCATTGGTTTTGAGAAAGAAACAATGAAGTATAGTAAGTGAGGATGAGTGGATGACATGTGAAACTTCTTTTAGAGTATTACATGGAAGATTTTGGAATTAATAAGACGGACTTAAATGTGTTGCTAGATGGATTTGTACCCGATTCTTGGATGAAATTGTGAATTATATTGTCAATGTTTAAAATGAAAGAACAATTCCTTTCAAACTTGAGAAAGATGTTATTGTTTTAAAGTTAAAAATTCCTTTTGATAACCAATGTACTGATGCAGCAAAAATATGAGGTTGAGCATTTGAGTATTTTGCTATATGCTTAATTTGTCTGAATTTTTTTTAGTAAATTTCTTAATTGTTTGAAATTTGGTTTTTGGGAGGAAAGTAAGGGAAGATAAAAACTTACGTGATGTAATTTTTTGTTTGGGAGATTTTGAGTGGGGGAGGGACCTCCAAAGTATTTCTAATTATATTTTTTAAGTTTTCTTAATTTTAAGAGTTTTGTATTAACCTTATTTTTGTTCCATTCCCCTTTACTCTTCAAACATTTTCTTTTTCTCTCTCTTCAAACTCTTAAAATAAAGTCTTAATCTCTTCTGTTTACAAGTCTTTAGTCGACAGACTATAAATTATATTATTAATTGCAATTTTGTTCAAGCATAAGTTTGACGGATAAAAACTAGAGTTAAGTGGCAATGTTAAAGCCTAATCGAATAAGAAACATTTCTTTTAATAGACGTCTAATGTAACCCTTTATTTTTTTCTTTTGATTGATGCATAAGACAGGGAGACAATCAAGATACTCTTGTTGTTATTTGTTCATACCTGAGTAAAGCACTAGCAATATCTTTCTTCTTTAGTCTACAATATTGAATATATTTCTTAGACTTTTTGAGAGTTAGTTTGAGGAGAAAGAAAAGAAAAAAAAAACTTAAGGGATGATAATTGTTATTTGAAAGTTTTTAGATGAGAGAAGAGATTTTATAAACCTTTTAAATTTCATGTTTTTAAGTTCTTTTAATTTAAGAAATTTTTCCTCAACCCTCTCCTTTTGCAAATTTTTTCCTTTCTTCTTATACCAAACTTTCAAACAAAGTTTTACAAAATTGCTTTTCTCACACCTCGCTTTTACATTGCACTTCGGTAATGATCATAATTATTATAAGAATTGGCGGCTGGTTAAGGCATCTTTTATTTTATGGTTAGAAAATTAATTCTTACAGTTTTTAATAAAAAAATGTTTTAATGTAATTTTTTTAGTTTTTAAAATTAAATTTATTTTAATATTAAACTAAACATGCATTAAATGTATGTTTGAAAATTAAATAAAATTAATTTTGATATAATTAATCTGGATTTGTTAAAATATATATATTTGAATTGATTTTAACCACAAATTTTACATTACTACAACCTGTAAGTATTCAAATCAATTCATTAATTAATAAATATTAAAGCTTAAATAAATCAAACCATTTTTAATCCTAGGACGTGGGTTAAAAAAACTTTAAAAGATAAATTTTCTGATATAATATATTATTTTTTGTTTTTGATGTAATACATATTTTATTTTTAATAAAAGTTTCTATAATTTATGTTGTTGATGTGTAATATATATATATATATATATATATATATATATATATATTTATAATAATAGTAATTTTATGTTTATATTATACGACCGAATTCAACTAGCCTAGTTGTTTATTTTAACTTCATTTTCTACGTATGTTACTTCCCACACTGAGCGATTGGTTGAAATCAGTTATCCGTTCGCCTGCTTTCCATAATTTTTATCCAAGCAAGGAGAGACATGTCACACGATATTTTTCAAGCAAAGCAGCCCAATCAAACGATGCAAGCAGTAATAACAATTCCTTCACATTCATAGACTAAATCTACCATGGCTTCTTTCGCTTCCACAGCTGTCACTGCAACTCTCAAGCTCCACCCACAATTCCGAAAATACCCACCAACCTCCTATCCCGCCGAAAAGGTACTCTCTCTTTCTGTTGCTTATTCAGACCCTCTTCCTCGTTTTTCAAAGCAACCAAGTACCAATGTATACTTTTGCTTGGACTTGGGCCCTTATGTTAACTCCAATTTTATACTAGACAAAACTTAGATATGTGTTTTTATTTTTATTTTTTTAAATTAAAATTTCAGTTCAATAATTCATGCAATAAAGGTTAGTACTAGAAATGGGGATACATTCCTAGCATAAAACTCTAGTTTTTTTATATATTAAAAATAACATCAAATTACTTAAGGGCAACCGCAATTAACTAAAAGTTCTGTCTTTTATATTTTCTTATACTGGCCAGCCAATTTTTTTATACTGATTATATAAAGGAACAGTTCTCGAATGAATACAGTATCTATGTTTAAATAATAATAAAATTGTGTTGAAATCTGTACTGAGGTTATTCAGTTGTATGCATGAGCAGTGCGCGCACCCAACAATTACTCACACAAACAACTACCTTAACTGCAGTTTCTGTTTTCAGGGTCAAAGCATTTCTTTACAGAAAAGCTACAGATTCACTCATTTGGATCAAAGCAGGTATCTGGATTTTCGGGAAGAACTTTGGTTGACCAAAGAAGGGACAGAAGAGGAGGTGGAACAATCTTTCTACCTTCCCTTGTTGCAAAAATGCTTAGATAAGTGCTCCTATTCAGACACACAAATAGTTCATGGTCATGTCATGAAAACAGGTACCCATGAAGACGTTTTTGTCATGTCATTTCTGGTCAACGTTTACGCCAAATGTGGGAACATGGAGGGTGCTCGCAGAGTCTTTGACTACATGCCAAGAAGAAATGTGATGACTTGGACCACGTTAATGGTGGGTTATGTGCAAAACATGCAGCCAAAGCATGCAATTCATGTGTTTCAAGAGATGTTGCATGAAGGAAGTTACCCTTCTGTTTACACTCTTGCTATAGCTCTGAATGCTTGTAGTTCCTTGCACTCTTTTAAGTTAGGGGATCAGTTTCATGCTTACCTAGTGAAATACCATGTTGACTTTGACACAAGTGTTGGCAATGCGCTTTGTAGTTTGTACTCTAAATGTGGCAGGTTGGAATTTGCTCTGAAAGCATTTAGGAGAATCGAGGAAAAAAATATTATTTCTTGGACTTCGGCTGTTTCGGCTTGTGGGGACAATGGTGAACCAGTGAAGGGTTTAGGACTTTTTGTTGAAATGGTTTCTGAGGACATAAAGCCTAATGAGTTCACTTTAACTAGTGTCTTGAGCCAGTGTTGTGAAACAGTGTCTTTAGGATTTGGGACTCAGGTTCATTCTATGTGCACTAAATTGGGGTATGAGTCAAACCTACGGGTTAGGAATTCTTTGTTGTATTTGTACCTCAAAGGTGGTTGTGTTGGTGAGGCTCAAATGTTGTTTAATGGAATGGATTATATGAGTTTGGTTACGTGGAATGCGATGATTGCTGGACATGCACAAATGATGGAACTCACAAAGGATAATCTTTCTGCTTGTCAATGTGGGAGTGAAGCACTGAACCTTTTCTCCAAGCTGAATCGGTCAGGTATGAAACCTGATCTGTTTACCTTCTCAAGTGTGTTAAGTGTTTGTAGTAGAATGGTGGCTTTAGAGCAGGGGGAACAAATTCATGCTCAGACTATCAAAACCGGATTCTTGTCGGATGTGGTTGTAGGTACTTCACTGATTAATATGTACAACAAATGTGGAAGTATTGAGAGGGCTAGCAAAGCATTTCTAGAGATGTCTACTAGAACTATGATATCATGGACTTCTATGATCACAGGTTTTGCACACCATGGTATGTCACAACAAGCATTGCATCTTTTTGAGGACATGAGATTAGCAGGAGTTAGACCAAATCAGATCACTTTTGTGGGTGTTTTAGCAGCATGTAGCCATGCTGGCAGGGTCAGGGAAGCACTCAACTACTTTGAGATTATGAAAAAGGAATATAAAATTAAACCTGTGATGGACCATTATGCTTGCATGGTTGATATGTTTGTGAGGTTAGGTAAGCTGGAGGAAGCTTTCAATTTCATTAAGAAAATGGGTTATGAGGCTAGTGAGTTTATATGGTCGAACTTGATTGCTGGTTGTGCAAACCATGGGAATCTGGAATTGGGCTGTTGTGCTGCTGAACAATTACTAAGTCTCAAACCAAAAGATACAGAGACGTATGTGGTGTTGTTGAATATGTACCTCTCAGCCGGGCGATTTGAGGATGTTTCAAGGGTGAGGAAGCTGATGAAAGAGGAAGAAGTTGGAAAACTGAAGGATTGGAGCTGGATTAGCATCAAAGACACAGTGTATTCATTTAGAACAAATGACAAAGCACACCCACAGTGTTCACTCTTATGTAAATCATTGGAGGATTTACATGCCAAAGCCAAGAATCTTGGATACGAGAAGCTAGAAAGTATAGAAATAAGTAATGAAGAGGAGGAAGAAAAGACGTCATCTTCTACCATTTATCACAGCGAGAAGCTGGCCATTACATTTGGGTTGGAGAACTTGCCAAATTCTTCACCAATAAGAGTTGTGAAAAATACCTCAATATGCAGAGATTGCCATAATTTTATTAAGTACATCTCAACACTGACTGGTAGGGAAATCATTGTTAAAGATAGTAAGCGGCTTCACAGATTTGTCAATGGGCAATGCTCATGTGGAAATTTTGGTGGCTTTCTCTAAAATCCTATTAGCAGCAGCTAAAAGTTCGGGAGTTAGCAATCAAAAGCTGACCATCAAAATCTGATACATTTTTTTACACATCTCTACACTTATTAATATAACACGTTACTTATAATGATGGGTTTCAAATTGTGATTATAGCTTCCCAAAAAGCTTAGAGCAAGTATTACTGGATCACACACAAAACCGTTAACGTGTAATAAGTAATGTACATCTTGCCCGCAGAACATGTAGAACATTGAATTTCGCAAGTTTGACTGAAGTTTCTGTATTATTATTAAATGTTCAGAAATAGATTAATCCAAAAAATCAACTATAAACCGTCTATGTTGTATTAGTACTACCACTTACGGATTTACACCATAAGAAAAGAAAGGGATTGGTTTCCTTTTCGGCCATGGCGTATGGAACTAGGTAACTATTTTTCTCCTGTTGACAGATGTAAATTCAATTGAAAACTTCGCTACGATTTGCTAAAAAAAATATTCCCATGATTTCTGAAAGTTTCATTTTTTTCAATAGTCCGTATTGAATCTAAATCATTCGAAATCGTTTAATTCATGACAAAAGCTCCAAGGGAGTTGAGCAAAAAAGTTAAAAATAAAAGCTCCAAGGGAATCTGATTCTGCAGGAGGGGTAGTGGCAGTATCGTAATTTCAGATCCGTACAGTACAATGATGGATAGATTGCATTCCTCATTAATGCTTCGAAAAAAACAAATAACATGAATTAACATAACAGATGCACTGCAATATTCTAAGTGGTAGCTGAGAACCTGAATAAGATTCGTACAATTCAATCAACACTTGCACCCTTCTGACTGTAGGAACACTGGAACAGGATACAATGTAATGGTAGGATCGAAAAACGGAGATAAAACGAGATTTACAAACGCCAACCTTACAAAATTGCATATATATTTGTATTAATACATGACTTTTCTTTTCTATTTCGAATTTGAATTCCGTCTTCTATTTCTATAGGGGTGAAAAAGGCTTGGGTTGGTTAAAGATGCTGAAGAGGTGGCTCAGCTGAGCTGGCATTTTAACCATTATATGTTCAGGTTTTTCATGTGAACACTTTTCATAAATATACAATCTTCCATAACTCTTTTTTTCTCTTTTCAATCAGAGCAGAAGTTACCATGGGATGAAACTACTGCCTTTTGCTTCTAGTGTTGGAGATCCATGATTTGCTTGTTTCATGAGGCGGTTTCCAGATGATATCCTCAAGGTTGCTAGAAAAATTCTTGTAAAACTGCAACAGAGGAGCTAACTTTTTGTCATAAATTTAAAACAAGATTGAAGAGGGGAAAGGTGAGGTCACACCAACCATAAAAGCATCTCTCAAAAACTGACCTCCTTATATTCACCTGCATCTCCAGCTGCTTTATGAATGTCCACCATGAAAAATGTGGGAGCAATTTCAAAAACCTTTTTAAACAAAGAGGGAAATCTTGATCAGGAAATGAATTAAACTGTCAGGCAAAATGTTAAGGGGCTATGAAAGTCTGGCAGAGAAATAGAAACTTACTTCCAGTATAACTGAGAAATGAGAAGTCTTACTTGCTGAAATACCCTCTATTCTCATCTGAAAATGTAGACCACGTTAGTTCAGATCAATAAAAATAATAAGGTATGGCAAGTTAGATCTTCAGAAGAATTAACTTCAGATGCTAAGTAAGTTTGGTTGATTTTCTAGAATAGATAAGCGAGCAAATGATACAAATTTAGAACATAGGCAGAAGGATGTAAGAGAAGAAAACAGGTAAAGCAATTTACTGAGCATATATTACAGGCTACAAACCTTGTAGTTGCGAATATGCGTCTTAAATCCCATTGATTGTGCCACAACTTCCATACTAGATAAAACCACCTTTGATGGCTTTTGAGTAATGAAACGTGTTTGGTTCAACATAGAGTCCTGTAAGGTAGGAGAATGGAGAAACAAACATTGTACGGTTGTACCTCAAGATAATGACAGAATATGCGGGGCACAATGATGCATTTTTGTCAAAGCAAGTCAAATAACTTGATCAGGATTACAAGTACAAGCTGTGATTATGCAAAGTTTCATTAAGAAATTAAATGGGCAATTATTTGACTATTTGCAGATATGATTGTTGAAAAAATTTAACAACAATATCATGATTAGATACCTGTCCACGATCAAAGAGTGTTGCAAGGTTTAGGCCTTGAGATAAAACTATCATATCGAATGCATTAAGAGTTAGAGGGCCCATGTCATCATTCTCACATTGCTGCTTAGTCCTCTGATCCTTAGTGACAAAATAATCAACATATCAACATAACAGAGAAAATATTTTCCATTTAAATGCATCAGGAAAAAACAAGCCGGATTGAATTGATGAGGCATAAAAAATTAATAAAAGACAGTGTAGTTTTTGCATTAGAAATAGTTCCTCTCTATTAATATCTCCTTCGTTGTCATCGATCTGTGTTTTGAGTATAATAGAATAGAGGTTTGAACACCATTTAATTGTTTTCGGATATTATAACTCTCATTTACTAATATTGTTACAACGAAGTACGAACCTTCAATGAACTACTGTAGATAAATTTAGGTAGATATGAGAACCAGGAATTCACAATATATTAATATAAATTTATAGTAGGGATATGAAGTAAGTTCATTGAGAACATTTGGGAAAAGTTAGAGGGAATTAGGTTTAATAGAAAGGTTTCTGTAAAAGTAAACTTTGCTTAATGCAGCATTAAAAAGTAAACAGACCTCAGCATTGTCAAATGCAGCATTTACATCATCCAGATTTACATCTTCATACTCGAGGAGACTGACAGGCACGTAGTCCTTTTGAAACCACTCATCATTTCTAATCTGCTGAATGGTTATACGCTGATATCAACATGAACACACACGAATGGGAAGAGAGTTGTGAGAAACAAGTATTATAATAATAAATGGAAGTATGCATTAAATCCACTAGAACATTAATATTAACATATTAAAATATTCATGTAAACTAAAACAAGTCACAACAGAAAATGGAAGAAATTCTTGAACTGAATGATTGAATAGAATATGTTCATTGACATTAATGGAACCAGAACTCTAAAAAAGGATCGAGAAGTATTTGGTGAAACATAATTTTGAGTCTAATTTGGTTTGATGAGGCAGAGAACATACAGCTTTCTTACCAACAAGATTAGTGTGCTCACAAGTATAACATTTAATTTTAAATCCCTCAAGTATTAATCACGAAAAACTAGAAGCATAAGTTCCGTGTGCTTATCCCCTTTCCACATGTAAAAGAAGCACTATAATATTCGATTTAAGCATTATCTATTAATATAATTTTAGAACAAGGGTAAAGACAAATGAAAAAGTCAGATGAATGCAAGAAAGGAAGATTGTTGCACTGAGAGCATCTTAATCCTTTTAATATTCATACATACGTGTTTGGGTCCCATTTTCTATGGTTGTATAAGACATTCTATTTTCAATGCAACCCTTTTTCTCTTCCACAATAACTTCAACCGTACTATTCACTATGCAACAGTTATTTATTTTTGTAAGCAACTCCCACTAAAGTCTTTCTAAAAGCAAAATATTAGGTAAAAACATAAGCATATCAATTTCTTAATTTGTCTTTAATATCATTTTTTGCCTGCCAATATTATTAAGGAAAAAATGTCAACTTTTTGCAATACAAAGTTTTGCATGAGGTCATCCATTTTACATATTAAAATTAGTCTAAATAAAGAAGGTAGCATTGTACATCAACAATTTGATGGACAACGTTACACTGAACATCATTATTAGTTTTGATATCCAAATGATCCATGAAAAACAGAATAGATACCAAGGTTGTTAGTGCAATCAATCAATTTATATTGGGGAAAGTTCATAGTCCCAATTTCAACTTCGAATAGGCACCTTTATTATAGGCAACTAAACTTTATTCCTTCTGCAAATAGACAACTTTAACTTTCATTTCATCCTAATTTGTCTTTAAACTACAGCTATTGTCTCAATAGATCCCTTTCATTAACTCGGCTAACTTATTAATGTTAAATAAATCCTCTTTCTTATCTTTCATTTATTTTAAAGGAAAAATAGTCATGTAGTCCATAATCATGCTTGACAACTACATATTGTCACACTCTTGGGCTTTCTAGATGCCTTCTAAATTCTAATGCAATATGAACCACATCAGAAACATAAATCGTTTTATGCTTCCTTGCTCAGACAACGTTTAATATAAGTTGACATTGAAAGGCTGTGTCCCAAAACTCTTTTGACATAAACGAAAAAATCTTTCTCTGAAAAATCAATCCTTACATGATCAGGATTTGGGTCCAAAGTTCTGTGTATTAAAGATTTTGCTTCCACAGGAAACCAAGGAGGGCATGAAAACTCTGCTTTCTCAATCTGCATCAGAGTAGAAAACTTGATGGCGTTAATAGTAGTCTGAAATTTCATTCTGAACAAAACATCTTTGATAAGAAGAAACTATAAGACAAAGCAATGTTTTCTGAACCATTTGACTCCAAAATAAAGTCTTGATCACAAAAAATTGTAGGAACAGGAGTCACTATATGCAAGATAAATATTTAAGACAAATATTTACAATGGGGACCCCATCTATTATATAGTAAAATACATATCCAATATGTCTAAATTCATGCCTTACTGTATAACGTAGTTAGATCAAGTTCGTCAAAGGGAAGATATCCAGCAAGTAAAACATAGAGGATAACTCCACAGGACCAAACATCTGCTGGAGCGCCATTATAACCCTTGTGACTGAGTACCTGAGATCACAAAAATAAATGTAAAATGCAGAAGCCAGTTTACAAAAATGTATCTGAAATTGACATAAAATCATTCTAAACCAAGCAGTAAGCCAGCCACATATTACCTCAGGAGCTACATAATTAGGAGTCCCACAAGTTGTCCGGAGCATGCTAACCCCCTATGAGAATTTTAACAGAATTAAATACATTCAACGAGTATAAAAACATAAGAATATCATTTCATTATTTATACACATTAATTAAAGTCAAATTTAAGAATTATTCAGTTAGCAATCTCTCACCTGTTCTGGCAATGCACTCAAACCAAAATCTGAAATCTTTAAATTTCCTTGTGAATCAAGTAAAAGATTTTCAGGCTGCCAAAGGAAAAATTAAAATAGTTGGCAGCGTTCGTGATAAGGATGAGAATAGCATCCAAGATCCTAATTAATGCAAACCTTTAAGTCTCTATGATAAACTCCCTTACTGTGGCAACAATCTACACCATCAATAAGCTGTTGGAAGTATCTTCTAGATTCAGATTCACTAAGACGCCCATGGCTTACCTACACCGTTATTTTTATCTTCATTATCAACATCTTCAATATTGATAGAAATCACAATAAAAGCTTAGCAAAAGCATACATCCATCTTGGGCTACTCACAATTTTATCAAACAATTCACCACCTGTAATGAACTCCAATATGATATAAATCTTAGTACGGCTTGCTAGAACCTGAAGAAAGTCATACGTCAAAACAGAGTGAAGCACTTGTCAATAATAAATGGTGATCGCCAACAAGAGAGAAGGCACTAAAAGGCTTATCAGAATAAATATTGACACAATGTGGCTCTTCTTCTTAACCATTCCAAGGAAAAAAAATGTATATGCAAAAAGGAAAATTTCAAACTAGGACAAATTCTGAAATGATTTTCCGAATATTGTTCCTCTCTACAATGTTAAAGATTGGAAAATTCTATAATTCTTGGTTTTACTTAACTAGCCTTCTAAAACTTAGTTGATACCATATTTTACACTTCATTACTAATCATCATTAATTGGAAAACAGGTAATTAAAGCCAGACGGGCCCTCAATGACTTTTAAGTGCATGTTTAGAATGTCTATTTTGAAAATAATGTTCGTTCCTTTAACTTAAAGGTCTTTCTTCCCAAAAACAAGTTATTCCAAACACACAATATAAGAAGGGAGAATGAAAATATCACATGCCTCATGCAGACGAACAACATATGGATGTCTGACTAGCTTCATAATAGAAATCTCCCTCTTGATCTGCATTATATTAAAATAAATCAAATAAAAATTGAAAATAGAAACCTTAACGCTATAAATGTAACCACCAAAACTCTAGTATCTTGTAAGGGGCTAGGGTAGTTTACATTAAGTCATAAGTTCAAACCTCATTACCACAAAAGAAAAATCTCTCATATCTTAAAATGGAAGAAACCTAAACGTCTTGAAGTCACCCTCACTCACAGGATTCCAATCCAGTCCAAGTAATACCATCATTTAGCATCAAAGAGATTAATTAACATTCATGATTCACCGCATGTCCATCAACTAATTGATTCAGTTCCTAATTATAACAACTATTAGTGAATTTGGTAAATTAGTTATAATGAGGGATAAAATTGAGTCACATATCATAACATCAAAAACTGAAATGATGAATAATTATAAAATTTGAAGCACTAAAATATAATTATCGTAATTTGATTGAGTAAAGTTCAGAAAATAATTGAATGCGTTAATAATATACCTGGTCGATCATTTTGTGCTTGATGATGGTGCTACGATCGAGAACCTTCATGGCGACACTCTCCCCAGTCTCTGTGTTCTGAGCGAACTTTACCTTCGCAAAGGTTCCCTCTCCAATGGTCCTTCCAATCTCATATTTTCCCACTTTCCTCAACACCATCTTCTCTTTGTTTTTCTCTCGTATCCCAATCAAGCAACAACTCCACCACTCACTAACAAGCTTTTAATTTATCTTCTATCAGTTAATTAATCAATTATATTCGTTTGTGTGGTGAGGAATGCGATGAAATTATTAAAGGAAGAAGGTAAGAAAGACTACAGACTAAGCTATTGGAAAATTCTCATAGTTTTCTTATGAGCATTTAAAACAGTCGAAAAGGAGGGGACGGTGTTTGAAATTTGGAATTTCAAAATTTTCGTTGGTGACTTGTTTGGGAAATTGGAATTAGACGGTTATTTTAAATGGACGCACTTTCTAAGACACGGTCAAAATCTTATCATCTTAAATGCTTGAATTATATCAGTATTATTGACATAAATAACTTATTTTTAAAAATTTATATTAGAATTATATCGACAGTATTATTTAAATAAAAATAAATATATTATTACATATTCTAAATTTTTTATGTTAGTGCGGTGAAAATTTTATCACTTATAATCGTTGAATAAATTCTCAAATTATTTTTGAAATTGTATCAATCAAATATTTTAACTCTTAATTTTTTGAAAGTTTTTGTTAGTCTATTTTGTAATATATTGTTTAGCTTTTTCTACAAAATAAAAGTAAAAATAAAATAAAATAAAATAAAAAAAGAGTATAATCTATATTAAGTTGAAGATTAATAAAAAAATTAAGAATTAAAATGTTTTATTTATATAATTTCAAAACTTAATTAATAATAGCCAAAAAAAAACTTAATTAATAATATTATATATTTGTCAAAATTGGATCGGATAAATATTACTAATTGATGCGATGTTCACACACCAAAACAAGGAAATGATTTTTCAACCAATAAAATGGGAAGTCTAAGGTAGGAGTGTACGTGGAGGGCTTGGAATGGGTAAATTTATTTTTGTCTTTAATCGATTCTAAATGTTAATAAATTTTTATTTTATATTTGAATTTGATCCGTTTAAGATTCGATTATTTTAATATTTACTATTAGATAAAATATATTAATTTAAATATTATAATAATTTAATTATATAAATTATAAAAATAAAATATATTTTATTATATTTAGAATAAACATATTAATATAAATATGATATTATAATAAATATAATTTATTGAATTTTAAAGTTTTGTTATCGTTACATAATTGTTTTAAAAGGTATAAATTTTAAAAGAATTAAAGTGTATTTAGCAAAATTAGCATATAAACTAGCTGTTTATATTTAAATTATTTAAAAATTAGTTTTTAGGTAAATATTAAATAATAAATAAAGATATTATAATTAAGTAGACTAAAAATTAATAAATTTTTAAAAAAATATAATTTTAATATTTTAACTTATTTAAAATTTTCATTATTTTTAAATTAAGATAATAAATTTTTAATTCCTTTCTTATTATAAATAATGTCATTAATTAAATTAAAGTAGTTTCAAAATATTACCTAAATTCATATTTAAAATATATCAAATTTAATTTAAAAATTCAAATTCGTTAAAATTAATATCAAATCAAGAAAAAATTATAGGATGGTAAATATATTTATAAGTAAATAAAGTAATACATAATATCATGATATTAATTTTGAGTAATTGAAATAATATAATTGTCCAAAATATTAGATTAATAATTGGGAGGGTATGACAAATGGAGGTTGTTTTTTATGTATAAGATTTGAAATATTATATACTAAAATCTGAAATATTAGAGAAAATTATCAAAATATAAGAATTTAAGAATTTTTATTTTTCTTAAATTATTTTATTTTATTTAAAAATTACTCATAATAACTTTTGAATTGTTATATTTTCTGAATTTTTTTAAAATTTCATATTTGATGTGTTATATATACATATATGACAAATGGAAGCGATAAATGAAATAGTTTCCGTATGTCAGACGCAGTCACGCAGCTGATACTCGCTCACGCCACTCCCGCCTTTTCAAAGTTGAGAGGCCAAAGCGCCGTCTTATTTTTCCCCTTTCAGATTCAGACATTGAAATCAAAACTAACACTTGAATTTTATGTGATGGCTGAAACGTTTTGTTATGAATAATATATTAAAATTATTTTGTGTTTTTTTTTATCAATTTATTAAAGTTCTGAATAATATAATTTGCAAAGGAAAAATTGAATAAAGTTTTCTTCAAATTCATCTCATGTAAAGTGGGAGATTTATTTATCCAAAAATAAAAATTATTAATTTGAAACTAAATATTGCAATTGTGACAATTGTGTATGTAGCTCTATAATATATCATTTAAACTTATTTTTATTGACCAATATAATTTTCATTTTTTAAATTCGAACCACAAAAATAGAATCTTTAGATACATGTGTTAAATGCCAACTTTTTATTTTATTAGAGTATTTTTAATAATTTTACTTGGATACGAAAATCTCACATATTTTGAAATAGTTTGGAAGTTTTGATTCTAAAAGCAACTTCAGGGAAGTTAGAAATAAACTAACAGTCACACTCACGATTTCAGAAAGAAAGTTTTGTACAAAGAGAGAGTTACTCAAATAAGCAATGGTTCCACGTGGAAAATAAATTTAATATTTTCTAAATTAAAATTTTAAAAATAATATTAACTTTTAATATTGATTTTCATTCTAGTAGTTGTAAAGTAAATTTTAATTAAAGAACAGTTTGCTGCCCTTGTATTTGTCCTTTTTATATATTCAAGTTTGAAGTAAGAGATATTGTTACGTAAACAAAAAGTGAATGTTTGTAATCGTTGACCAAAAAAAGTCTCAAGTTTCGGCCTCATCCAATTAATTGAAATGAAATTATAAATAATGAATTTGGAAGAAAAACTAATTTATCTTTTCTGGTTAACATTTTGTGATGGATTTCTTCTTGTGATTGAAATATTATAAAAACTAATTTTTATAAAAGATTTTATGCATGAAATTGATAGTAAACTATGATTTATAGTTAAAATTAAAATTTCTATAAATGTAATGGTGATATTTAAAAGTATTTTTAAAATTATAAATACAATATCAAAACATAGTTTTATGAAATTATAATATTATCAATTAAAATATTTTTTTAATTTTAATTTTTTATGACATAAATTATGATTTTGAGTAAATCCTTACTTCGATTCTTAAAATATATAACTTATTAAAATTAGTGTTTAAAATTTTAATTTTTAATTTTTAAAATAATCAGCTGCAATAATTAATATTGTTAAAATACTTTAAAGTTAAATAACAAAGTAACACTTTGTCACGTTAAATATATGTGAAAGTTTATTCTAAACATAAGATGTTTTAAGATGTTTTAACAATAGTTTTCATTCTTAATTTATAAAAATTAAGACAATAAAAAAGAGTAAGAGGTGTGGAGTGAGTTATAAGAGATTGAATTTGAAAACAATTATTGTGAGTATAGTAGTAGAGAAAGATGTATTTAAAAAAAAAAATGAGATATCGACTTGAATAAAGAAAAGAATTGTGAAAATGAGGTTACTGCAAATTGCAAATGGAGGTGCAACATTATGTGCCGAAATTGTTTGTGAAAAGTTTGATTGAACTTAAAAGAAGAATAAACAGAAGAATTAATGACTTTATTATTTGAAAATTTCACAATAAACTATTTTTTAAACAAATTTAAATGATATTTGTGTCTAAAATAAATTTTGACATGTTATTTAATATAAAAATTATTATTTTATTAGTTTAATAATAAAAATTAACGTGATTGATGATTAGTAATTTTAAAAATTAAAATTAAAAATTAATTTAAATAATACTATATATTTCAAATACTAAATTTTTATTTTCAACCGCATTATAATCATGGAACTATATATTTTTATCTTTCATACATTATATTGTTCTTTTTTAAGACATATAATTTTTTATTATTCAATAATAATAATAATAATGTATTTTTTCTAGAATTTTTCCTTTAAATTTATATTTTTAGATTTTATATAAATATAAAATACACATACAATGCACAAGACCTTGCTGATAACATCAAATTCATAACATATTAAAACTTTTTAAATTAAAATACATAAAAATGGAACTCTATCAAATAAAAACGAAAAATCTTTAAATAGAAGTGAGTTTAGTGGGAAGAAATTTCATGACATTAACCTAGTTAAATAAATAATTATATTAAATATATTTTTAATCTTTAAAAGTATGACTATTTTGTTATGTATTTTTATAAAAAAAATATTTTTATTATATATATATTAAAAATTTATTTTTTTGTTCAACCAAAAATTTAAAAGACATAATTTTTATATATTTTTTAAATAATTAAATTTAAATCAAGACAATTTTAACAAATATACAATTTCAAAATATCAAAAATATATTTAAAGTGAAAAATATTTTTTTGTCATCATAAATTTATAATTTATCAACCTACTTTGAAGCTTCTAGGCTTGTTTCCATCATCGTATTCATAAGAATTAAGAATGAAGCTCAAAAAAAATTTCCATCATTTTTTTTTTCATAATTTAAAAAATATAGTAGTCACATTTAAAATTTATTTTTTAAAAAGAATATAAAAAATAAATTTTTATTTTATTTTAAGATTTTGTTAACTTCAGCTCTTAAGACTGAGAATAAACAGTTAATAATAGTAAAATTTTATTAAAAAATATTTATTGTATTTTTATAATTTCAATATAATAATTATATAATTTTTTAATAAAAAAATATATTTATGAATATTTAAACTTAATTAAGAGTTAAGATTAATAAAAAATTTTATTTTATTTATCTTTGGTTATGGTAATCACCGATTTTGAATTTCTAACTTATGATTTTAGATCCAATCCTTGTTGTTAAGCTAGAGAATGAATAATTAGAAATCTCAATAAAGAAAATCCCTAGTTTCATGTTAAAATATCAAAAACTGCATTAGACATGAGCTTTTTTCTATAAATAAATTAAAAAAATATTAGTTATTCTCTAAATATTCTGAAAATAAAAAAAAAGTATGCAAATATCCTGAATGTACATATACTAGAAGTTGATTCTAATCGACTTTCGTTAAAATTTTAAAAATTTGTAACATAAAAATTGATTTAAATTAACTTTCATTTTAGTTTTAAAAATTTTCACATAAAAGTCAATTTAAATTGATTTTTATTATAGATTTAAATTTTTTTATACAAAAATTAATTTAAATCAATTTTCATTCTACTTTTGAAATTTTTTTACAAATAAGTTGATTTAAATTAACTTTTATTCTGTTTTTGAATTTTTTTATATATAAAATTTGATTTAAATTGACTCTAATTCTAGTTTCAAAATTTGTTTATACAAAAATTAATTTATATCAAATTTTACTCACACAGAGATATTTTTTAGAAAGAAATTGACAGTGATTTAGATATATATGTATGATAGATTTTTAATTTTATAGACTATAATATTTTAATTATTAAAGCACAGTGTTATAAGACATTTAATTTTAACTAATTTAAATTTTATGTTCTTTGAAATATATCACTTGTGTATTTTAGCTTAGCTTGGTTAAATGTATCAAAAGATGATAGATAATACGGCATAAATAACAAATTTTCCTTAAGAAAATAATTAAATAAACTTAACAATATTACTCTTAGTATATGAGAAAATAAGGCAATAAACTTAGGATATATTATAACAAATTAAACTTAATAGTATTATTTTTACTATATAACACAGTGAATCAATTATGTTGGCCAGAGGAAGAAGCATATAGGTATGTCCATTTAGTGTGACCTTCCTCTACACAGGGTTGTTCTTGACCTTTTTAGGACCCTAGGCGAAATAGGAAATTAAGACTCTTTAAAAAATTATAAAATTAATAAATAAAATAAAAGCATATATTAATAATTTTATTAAAATAATACATTTTTTTAAGTGGCTATAATTTTTCTAATAAAATTATAAAAAAAATGTTCTTTTATTCAAACAACTTCTATGTTATAATTAATTACAAAAACACAAAAAATATAAAAAAATGGGTTTTATGAGCATTATGAGATGCAAAATCATTAATGATAACATTAATATTAATGTTTTCTAAAAATTCTTTATCGATTGATAAAATTGTGAGACCATTCAACAGTTCTTGTGACATTGACGACCTTAGATATGTTTTGATTAACTTTAACTCTAAAAAACTTCTTTCAATTAATGATATAGTCATCAAGAACTATAAAAAAAATTCTATAAGTGATTAAAATATTTAGATAACAATATGCAGATTTGATAAACTCAATAACTGTTTAATTTTTTGGAGAAAACTAAAATTCTCCATGAGCCTTAATGTTAAAAATAATAAAATTTTAAAATTAAATGAACTTTTGAGTCTATAGAAGTCAATGAGTCGACTACATTTATAAGTAAGGTGCGAGAAATTAAAAAGTTTTTTTTGTTTTTTTATTTTTTCCAACTGCAAACTGTAAAAACTGAATTTTTTTTTAAGTAAAAATAAAATATAATTTTTACTTTGGGCCCTCTTTTAAGCTTGAGCCCTAAGCGATCGCACCTTTAAATTACCCTAAGAATCGGGTCTGCCTTTACACAATCAACATTGTTTTTCTGACATCAGTCTTGTCTATTTTATTGTGAAACCTAGTGAAATTTGATTATTTTTATCATACTATTATTTCCCTTGTGCACCTCCAATATTGGACTCTACAAGTTGTAAAATAACTGGTGGACAAAGCTTATCACATAATCTGACTATATAAATAAATTTTGAAACAAGTTAATTTAAATTGATTTCTATATTAAAAAATTTAAAAACAAAATAGAGAAATCGATTTTTGTATAAAAAATTTTTAAAAGCAGAATGAATAGATTTCTATGTAAAAATTTTTAAAACTAAAATGAAATCGACTTCTGTGTTACAAGTTTCTAAAATTTTAATGAAAGTTGAATTAACTTTTCTATTATATGTATTTTTAGGATATTCGCATAATTTTGTTTAATATTTTTTAATTTATTTATGAAAAATATAATAAATTATATATATAATATTATATTATGTGCATAAATTTTATAATTTATAAAAAAGTTAATATATAATGTAAGGTGAGTGGCTATGATCCATGATCATTGATCATTCAATAATTACTCATCATGTACTCAAAATTGAAGAAAAATTGAGTATTCAGTGTTTATAATTGTCCGCCAATTATTATGTGGTCATATATTTTTAAAAATATAAGAAATGTTTTTCAATAATCACATTATAATTCACTGAAATCATGCACCATCTAATTATTTTATATTAAATAAAATCAAGATTTTTATTATTAATTATATGAGATAGTATTATAGTAATTACATAAAACTATTATATATTATTCTAAAACAATTAAATTATTATATTATTGTAAAATAATATCTGCCATATAATACAAGAATCAACTGTAATTTTTACATAAATTAATATTTTGAATGTTTTAATATAATTATAGATATAAAATAATTTTTACAATTAATTAATATTTTTTACATATAATATTAGTGCTATTTTTCTTTTAATAATAATTAATTCATTATCGTTATTTTATCGCTATACATTATTGTGTTTTAAACTAAAATATCAATTATTACTTCAATTTTTTTCTTGACTTTATTGTGATAATCCTTTGACATTAAATTTATAACGATAAACAATTTTAGTCTAATTTATATAATATATAATAAATTTTAAATAATTAAAATTATAAAAGAAAAAAACACATATCAACGTGCTTCGCAAGGGTTTAAAGTCTAATTTTGTTAAAATAGTAAAATTTAATATTGATAAATTATTAATAAATAAAAATATATAAGTAAAAGGGTTATAATTTTAAATTGCTTAAAGTATGTTAACAAACAAATCTTACAAACTTAAAGTCTATTCTCTTGCTTAATTAATTGAGTCTAGGTAGATTAACGACAAATAAATGGTATAAGCAAGAAAGTATAGACAAAAATTAGAACAGAAAATCATTACTCGACATTTTTGCTAATATATTTTTTTTTGCTAATAATTACTCGACATTTTAAATAAATAACTCAAACAAGTTTTATTTTTTGAAAAACATGTTCAAAAGCTTAAAGCAGTTTCTCCCGAAACTGGGCAGAATCGACGAAGTTTCTATACATCCAAGTATCTAACAAAATCTAATATTGAATACTCGAATACGAAGAAGAGGATCCGCGTAGCGTATGCAGTTTCATTCAAGTTTCAACTCAGACTTGTACTTGTTCTTCTAATCCGGTGGCTGCTACAGAATCACGAAGAAACAAGACCCAAAAATTCATAAAACTAAACATTTTATCTCTTCAGAGCTATGAAGGTGTTGTTGAGGCAGCAATAACAATGGAGATACAGCAAGAGTTGGAGTGGGCCCAAGCCCAAAACTTAGTCTTAAGCAAAGACCTCATAGCCACCGCAAAACAACAGCTTCTGTTTCTGGCCGAGGTTGATAGAAACCTTTGCCTTTATGATGGCCCAGTTTTACACAGAGCTAACTACAGGTATATAAATACTTTTTGCAAGCAACAATAATATATAAATATTATTTTAATTTTTTAAATTACCAATAGACAGTTTTGGTCTTTGATTATTAGAATATTGTTATTTTAATCTTTAAAATTATAAAAAACAATATTAAAATCACTTATATTTAATAATTGTATTTCAGAAACTAAATTAATTAGTGCTTGTGATTTTGAGAACTAGTTTAGTACATGACCCATATTCTCATCAAGTTTTCTGGACGCTTGTAACTGAAATCATAGGATATTTTCCACTGTATGCAGTTGACATGTTTCCTCTGTTGATCTTTAAGTTCATCTTTATTTCAAAAGGTTGTGTGTTTGTTCATTTCTTTGTTTGATCAATGTAGGTACAAATATTGTTGGCTTCCTTTACTAGCCAAACATGCTGAGTCACCTGTGACAGAATACCCTTTGGTTGTGCCTCTTGATTGCGAATGGATTTGGCACTGTCATAGGCTTAATCCGGTGAGATTGAGCATTCAAACCAAAATCACAAATTTTCTTTCTTTCTTATGTTTTGGAAAATGTTAACATAAGTAGAACTGAGTTTAAGCATATAATAATAAGGAAAGAAAACATTTGTTTTATACATCTTTAATGTAATCAATGTTTTCATTTCTAATAAAAACTTATTAAATTAGAGCTAAAGTTAACAAAATCATTTTTTTTGTTTGTGAACTTGTTTTCTATAAACTTTGTTGTAATTATGGAAATACCCTTAAAAATATGTGCACTTATTTGTCAGGTGCGCTACAAGACTGACTGCATGGAACTATATGGGAGAATACTTGATGGTTGGAATGTGGTTTCTTCAACTCAGGGAACCAGCAAAGAGGAAACTGAAAAAATTTGGGAGACAATGTATCCAAAGGAGCCATATGAACTTGATCTGAACAACGACTCAATGCAGGAATTTGCTGAAAATTTAATGGAAGCGAAAGAAACTACCACCAACTATGATCTGATTTCAGCTGTTAAAAGACAAACTACTTTCCTCTATCAGGTAATTTAGAAACGAGCTTTGCTATATCTTCCTAGTAATTCTCACTACTTTATAAAATAAGTATTAAGTATTAAATGAAAAAGTGCATGCATTTTTGTCTTGAAAACATAAAAAAGTTTGATAGTTTTTTAATTTTGTAATTAGAAGGATTTGTAGGCACACAAAGTGGGAGGATTTGGATTTATTATTTAGAAACAATTACAATGCCATGTATTTTTGCTAGACCAACTTAAAACTATAACACTAACAAGTAATTACCAATGTCAGATGCTGTCAACTAGTTGATCATAGATTTTATTGGTAACAAAATTACTAACTACATGTGGTAATTAAATTTGTTTTGGAGTAACACTTCTATCAAAGTAAGGATGATTTGTTTTCATGCCTACTCTAGCAATAAAACTGCTCAAAACTGTACCAGCTTATGCTTCTCCATTAGTCTCAAATTTGAATGACTTAAACATTAATGACAGGTTTCGAAACCTTACTGGAATGATGATACTTTTCTTGAAGGAGCTGTGGCTCGATACAAGGGGTTTCTGTATTTGATCAAGAGGAATAGAGAGAGGTCTATACACCGCTTCTGTGTTCCAACCTATGACATTGACCTCATCTGGCACTCTCACCAATTGCATCCTGCTTCTTACTATAATGATCTAATGGCAATTATGGGAAAGGTGTTAGAACATGATGACACAGATTCTGATCGGACCAAAGGGCAAAAGCTGGATGTTGGATTTTCTGAAACCACCACACAGTGGGAAGATGCATTTGGCTCAAGATACTGGAAAGCAGGAGCAATGTACAGGGGTAGTCCCCCATCTCCTCTTACTGTTGATAAGTATAAAATAGATTCTATACATAACAGTTCAGCACCATCCAATAAGACAAACCAGAATCTGATTCAGCTTCCACAGAAAATGCTTGTGGAGGCAGTCTCCTTTGTGCCTTCTTCTACAATTTTCTTTGTTACATGAGAAGACACTAGCAACCTTAACTTGTGATATTTTTTGGGGCTTCAACCGTTGTAAATTTTTGGGTTCATGATTCTTATTCAGGTGATGCTTGAGATTGTTGATGTGAGAAACTTACCATCCGGGCACAAAGGCAAGCTAGTTGTATCCTTCAACAAGAAACAAGAAGATATACTTTTCAATACCAAGAAACAATTAAGCATTTCCTCTGGGTTACAAGGGAAACAAGTTGCTGTTTTCCAATGTGAAAGTAGTGGAGACTTAGTCCTTGAACTCATTTCCCAACCAAGTTTCAACTTCAGAACGGTGAGGGCAGCCAAAGTATTGGGAAAAACTTCAATCAATCTGGAGGATTTGCAAAATTTAGCATCTAAACTGCCAATAGAGAAGTGGTTAGATTTAACATCTGCACTCAATTGTAGAAAGCCTATCAGTATTCGCATTGGTTTCTCTTTAACTCCTCCAGTTCCAGCACCATATGAGGTGCAGATGATTTCGTTGCATCCATTCACAGGAAGTTATTTTTCCTTCCTGATGCCCAGAAAGTTTAAGCAAATTAAAAATTGGACAAAGGTTGCGGATGACGCTGGCAATGAGATCATCAGAATTCAGAAAGGGTAAGCCAAACTGACATGCAGAATTTAGAATGTCAGAGTTAACTCAAACAAGTGGTTCTATTATCATTGTTTTGTGACAAGTGAAAATGAGTTTTTCTTGCATCCTACTAACGAGTTGTTATTAAGGTACAATCATTAACTTACTGCCAGTTTGGAGCAGTTGCGAGTTTCAGTTTTTGGTTTTCAAATAAAAACGTGTTTGGCTAAAATGGAGTACTAATATTCTAAATGCTTTATGTTATATACTTAGATTTCTGTAGTTTTTGAGTAAGATACTGTGAATGGTTTTAAATTTGCCTGCACTTGCGTAATTTTTGGGTCACAGGTCACCTGCTTGAGCCCTAAGTTTGACACTTCCTTGCCATTTTCTCATTTTATTTTTGCATAATAGGATCAGGACAACTGAGAAGACAAAGATTAATACCAACAAAGAAGTGATTGGGAAGATTGCGTCTGGTGAAACTCATCTTCTTGCAGAGTTAGAGGGAACAATGTGGTCTATGGTGAACTCTGACTGGATGTTACAGATAAAGAAGACTAGTGATGAACATAAACATATATTTGAGCTCACAGGCACTCATAAGGTCTTAATTTAGATTCTTAAATTCATTACTGAGCAAAGAGCCAGAGTTTATCTTGTTCACAATTCAGATAGGACTTGTGCTAGATATGCATTCATATAATGTTCAATATTATGTTCATCCTAACCTTTATGTTTTTTCCCAGGTGATTATTTTTCCAGGTAGAAAGTTGGAGTTTGGAACTAGATACTATGGAAATGAAGAAGGAAATTGCTTAATGACAGCAATAGAATTCTCTAAAAAATATCCTTATGAGAAAGCAGTGGCTTTGATTTATTTGACATATGGATTTCTAGAGGTATTTTATAATTTATTTGATCAACAAAAAGCATTGCATTAGATCTTATCTTCTTCTACTAACACCACTCAGTTCTGACTCTTAAAATTTGATGAACAGATCAAGGAAGAGTGGCTGGTATTGCCTGCTATATTATCTGCATTTATTCTCTCTAATTTTCCTGATTTCAGTAATCAAAGTACGGAAGTGAACAAGACTAATGCATAAAAAGAAAATAAAATCAGAAAAGCAGTGGACAAAACACAGACACGGAATCTTGGCAAATGTTATGTCCCTTTCTCTAGAAAAGTTCCCAGGATGGGCCACTGGTCCATAAAAGCCACTGCTATTTCATGTAACTCACTCGTCTGCCATGCACAGTTATACAATAAAAAGTTCTTGGAAGTTTTGACTATGTACGATAGGATGACTTTTTAAGAGCTGCCACCTTGGTGTTTGTTGTATATACAAGTTATACATTTATTCCCTCTTATTTTTTTACATCACTCACCATATATATATATATTTTATTTCCTTTCTTTTCTAAGTCTCTCTTCTCTTCAAACTAAAACAATTGTTACTCTTCAGTTTAGCTCGACACAAATAATTTATAATGTACTTTTTCAGTCTTTATAATAAATAGCTTATTTGAGATTGGGTTTGAATTTTTTATACCCATTTTTCTGTACTCTCTTGACATTCTCATTCTGTCTCTCTTGACTTTTGATATCATGTCAAAGAGTGTCTAAAGATAATCACCCTTACAACTAACTAATCTAACATATAATCTACCAAGCTTGCTCACCTAATTATTTGCCAAAATCTCGATTCTCTAGTCAATAGAAACCACCATAATTGCTTAACACGTGCATGCAAAAAGGGGTTATTTAGATCCCACATTTTGCTTTCGCGTTTCTTTTTACTTCTTGGTAGCTCAACAAAATGAAAATTCTGTTAGTTAATTCCACTAACATATATATTTTTTTCTTTCGGTATAGCCCAGCTACACAAACATATATATATATATATATATATATATATATATATATATATATATATATATATTTTCATTCTAAACAACCATCTTATCAAACAGTAGGAATTCACATCATTTATTTTATTTTTCTGTATTTTTCCTATCTTTTCAATTAGAGAAATAATACCTGGGAAAACAAATTAACAAAAGACAGGAAAGGGACAGAGTACAGATTGGTGATTTCATCTTGCATTGTTTATTTAACATTTCTTGAGATTGCCAAAACAGTTGCCTAACAAGGGCAGACAAGCCTTATGTCAGAAACTTTGGGCAAGATAGACACAAAAAACTGTTATATTTTTCTTTAAAGCTACATTGGTTTAAAAAAATTAAAAATTTTTCTTAAAAATATTATTAACTTCCTGTCAGTATTTTTAATATGCTTTCAACATAACTTTTAATAAAAAAATTTTCCTCGATCAGATTCTCAGGGCCTTTGTGAGGGAGACAAAAAAATGGAGCCCAGTAAACAATTTTTTAATGACAAACAAGAATGGATCGTACAAAGCAAATACTGCAAGAAAAAGGGAGACAATTAGTCAATCACTGATACGAAAAGCAATATACTGATTAAAAAGTAGTTACACTCTCAAAGAACAATTCCACAACCCCTTCAACCACGATCCAACTATGCACAAGAAACAATGTTCAAACCAATATGCTAAACGATGAAAAAGAAACACCAAAAAGAAACAAACAATATGACTTGTATATCCACCCTTTCCTCCGCTCAAATCCACCCGTCACCACCGTGCGCCGCCGCCAGACCTCTCATTATTCAAGTACGAAACCTGCGAATACCCACGCTCCGAGCCTACACCAACATCCGAACCACCGTAACTAACTTTATGCGCCGAATGCGGAACCGAACCTGGCGTTTGAACCAAATACACCGGTTGACCCACCGGTCCAGTCATTGGCCTCACGGCTTGGAATATTCCAGAAGGCGTTTGAATGAAATAAACCGGAACCGGTTCATTCCCGGTTGCAGAAACCCCCAACGAAAAATTCCTCTCCTGCACAAACGACACCGTTCCATGAACAGGAACGGGTTGCACCTGCCCTTGCGCATGCGCCACTAACGGCGTCACTTTCTCAGAATTTTTCGGAGCGAAAGAGTCCACACCGTAACGTCTTCCGCTATCATCATCGATTTTTCGTTGCGAAATTTGCTCATTGTTCACCAGCTGCAACTTGTGCAGCTCCAGAATCTCCGATTCAGACTCTCTAACCGCTCGACGATCCTCAGAAAAATTCTCCGATTCCACGGCCGATTCCTTCCCCGGAACATCCGTAACCGTCGCAAAATCCGTCGGTTTCGGCGGCTTATCCAATCCGAACAGAAAATCCGGATTCGCCGGTGGCGCCATTGGCGGTGGAGAAGAACCTTCTAGAATCGGAACCTGCACGGAATTGAGAGCGTCGACGAACCACTGACGCTCCGGCTTAGACTCGGGGAGTCCGAAATTAACGGTTTGCGAAGAATGAGCACTGCTGCTGTTGTTGTTGGTGAGGGGGAAGAGGAAGAGCCTTAACCGTGCGGGTCTAGGTGAAGTGCGGTACAGGCGATCGTACTCAAGCATCATGTGGTGGAGGTCTTCGTCATTGGTGACGGAGATCAAGGCGTCGAGGTCTTCGCCGGGGAGTTGGTACTTGAAGAAGAAGTTGTTGGTGGCGTTTGTGAGGGAAGAGAGTTTGGTGATGAGGGAGGAGAAGTTGATGGAACGTTCAACGGAGAGGATTTTGGTGTCGCCGGCGACGTAGGTGAGGTTGTTGTGGTGTGGCCGGGGTTGGATTTTGCCGCCATAGCTGCACATTAACTTGACTTTGTAGGAGGAAGGAGGTTGTTCGTCGAGGGAAGGGTTATCGTTGTCGATGTCGCGAGAGCGTGGAGAGGAATCGCGGGAATCCATGGGTGGGAATTGGGGGTGGAGGGTTTGTGTTGAGAGAGTGGAGCGGGTAGTGGTTACTGGTTGGTGTGTTGAGAGAGAAAGAAAGAGAGAGCGAGAGAGAGAGAGAAAAACGGCGTGAAGACGAGAACAGTGTGGGCTTGTGGGGAAAGATGGAGGCGGTGATGGGCCCAAAAAGTGTCAGCTTAGTGTGGAATCCATCACTAGGACGCCAGCATATCACAGGTACCCCCCTCTCTCTTCCTTTCATCTTAATTTTCACAATTTTTTTTAATATATATCTAAATACACATAATACAAAAATTATAAAATAATAATTTTTTTACTGTAAATTATAGAATTTAAAATTATCTATGTTTTAAATTTTCTAATTTTTATCATAACTATAATCCTTACAAAAGAGATTGAGAGGAAACAAATAAAAACAAAAAGTAGTGTATTAGGAGAGAATACACTTTTCCTTCACATTTTCATTTTTTCACGCGGATGATTGACGATATTATTCTAAAAGGTTGTTTAGCGTTTGTTTACTAACATACAATAATTTATTACTAAAATTATAGAATTTATAAATTAATAATATAAAATATATTATAAATTTTAATACATTTATTATTTATTATTATAATATTCTGTTTATTTAAATTAGTTATATATATATTTTTTATTATAAGATCATTGTATTTTCAAATATATATTTAAATTTTATTAATGATATATGATTAAATTAATGTATTTATTATTTAGGCTTGAACATAGATACATGATTTTTTATTAATATAATATTTTCTTATTAATCATTGATATATTGCAAAATAATTAATATTTTATTGTATGATTCTTTTATTTATATAATATTTTGTCGTTAATCATTGATATATTGCAGAATAATTAATATTTTATTGTATTTATTTTTATTTTTTTTCATATATTTTGAATTTGAATACATATAAATATAATTATACTAATGATTAGAGGTTTGTAGTTTATAATAGTCGTACTCTCTTCAAATATAATTATTTTCACTCAAACGTTAAATACTTTAGAGATAAAACTTCGTCTCTGATGCGTGGTTAGTTTTACACAACTTGAATAAAATTATTTTTATGAATTTTTTTTCTAAAAAATATTATTATTTTTATATTCAATTCGTTAATTTGAGTATCTGAATATCTGTGGATAAATTTTTTTAATAAAAATTTTACACAAAATTTACTTTGTTTCTTTAAAAATGTTGTTTAAAATTTTTTTGGTTTTTGATAAAATTAATGTTAAAAATTAGTATTAAAATTCTTATTTATATTAAAAAAATAATTCTATTAAAAATAAACATGATATTGGTGAAATTCTATTTCTTGAGAATCAATTTTTCTTAATACAAATTTTTACAATCCTTTGAATAAGTTATTTTGAAAATAAAATTACTTTTAATTATATTAAAAAAAAACAATTTATGTGTTAAATGGCATTCCTTCCACAGCGATTTAATAAGTTGATAAAAGTTAAAACAAAGGATACACTTAAAAAGAAATCAAATATTTTGATGATATATTAACATTGTAGTTTTAAATAACTATCTGCACATTAATAATCCTCGATTCACTTTACTCACATTCCTTTATTTTTATTTATCTCATAGATGATACGATAATTAAACAATTAACTATCATTGCAAAATAAATGGAAAAAAACATAAAATGGTTATATAATATCTAATAAATTATGATAATCAAACTGCATATCACAAAATGAATTTCCCTGTATCAAATATTATTGGATCAGGAGTTATGTCGTTGCCTCGAAATTTATAGTGTGGATAAGAGGTCACATAATTAAGAAACTATAGAATTTAAAAGAAAAAAGTTATTGAACCTTATAAGTATGACGATTTTTAATTTTTAGTTGTTAGTTTCTATAGTTTTATTTAATTTTAAATTTTGTATTTAAGAATATATTTTTACTATTTAATAAATAGGTGAATGCATTGTTTGATTGTCATGTTTATTAATAAAAAAAAAATTGTTTTTTAACCAATGACTTAGAACATTGGTTTGCATTTTTGCTATTAAATATGATAAATAAAATTAACTATATAAAAGTATTTAATGTCATATTTATTAAAAATAATACATCATTAAGTAAATGTAAAAATAGAGTAAATATTAATATTATATAATTTAAATAGAATATATTAATAAATAAATAAATTGTATATTTATTTTAAATTTATATTAATTAACTATAATACATTTATCATATGAATGATTTTCATATTAAAAAAATTATGAAAAAATAAATTATTTAGTGCATATTAATATTTAATATTACATTTATTAAATGTCAAAAATAATAAAAATATTATAAATGTAATGATATTTAAATATTATATTTATTATTTAAAAATATATTTATTACATACATGAATTTTATAATGATAAAAATTACTTTAAAATTATTATTAAATATAAATTTAATTGTTGCACATTTAAGTATGTGCTAAAATATCTTCTAAAAAAAATTGAGTCTTAAGCAGGGGCATTATATCTAAATATAAATGTGTAAAATTTAACCAAATTAAATAATACATTTATTTGACGAATAAATAGTTAGTATATTCTTTTAGTAAATAATAAAATTTACACATATTATACTTATGAATAGTTTCTAAATCTTTTGTATACATTAGCGCATAATACAAATAGCAATACGCTTTTTATATATATTTTTTAAAACATGTTTTTATCATTGACGAAATGTTTTATAATTTCACTAATAAATAGTAAATCAAAATTGTTCAGTGCAATTCATATAATTTTTTAATGATAAAATATTAAGTGATGATTTCTTTTGTTTTTTTATTTTAATATCTATTTCCATTTTTTTTAAAAATATCTTTTTATTTGACACTTTTCTTTTATACTCTTACTTTGCAAATTTCTTAATTATTTTATGCATTTATTATACGTGTATAACTCATAATTGGAAAGTCCAAAAATTAATGAGACAAAATTATAAATCTCTTTATAACTTACCTGTTTATTAATTAATAAAATAGATATTATTTTTAATGTTAAAAATTAATGAGTAAGATTAACGAATAAAAAATTAAATAATTAGAGAAAAATAAATTGAAAATAAAATAATAAAATAATATATTAATTAATTTTAAACAGTGGAAAATAACTTTAAATAATAGGTAAAAAGTATAGTGTTACATTTGTAGTTGGTGATATTTGATCCATCCATTGGACTTGATTTTGCTGTTTTCTGCAAGAAAACTTGATCATTAATGAGTGGGCCTTTGTGGTTTACATTTGTGATACACTAATAATTGTTTTATTACCAAATGTTCCCTCAAAACAAAAAGCAGGGAGGCCCCCAAAAGGGTTCAATGGATATTCTCTTTAGAGAACCAATACTAACAACTCTCAGCCACTTTAGATGCTTCCATGGCACATACCATCAATAACTCTCAACTCACAAAGTTCAAAACAGAACCGTTGGCCAATTAAGGTTCTTTTTAGCATAAAATAAAAGGAGTGGGTCATTAGTGTTTCAACAAGGAATTTTGAGTAGAAGGGGCGGGAGTTTTTCTTCAAACTTCATAAATATCTTGAAAGGGACATAGCTCACTTTAACATATTCAAGTTTAAAAATTAAAACTATTCCAAATTCAAGATTTTTTTTTGTAGGGTTATGTGTTCTGTTCCAAAAGAGTACTCGTTAGGTGATTATGTTATGCTAAGAAAAAAACTGTATTCCTGTGTTATAGATTCCTAAGCTCCTCTTAAAAATTCTTAAAGTGAACTATGACAAAATGTTATTTTACGGTATAAAAAAGTAGGTGTTAGTTGACAAGCCGAGTTATGACTAAACTATGAAATAAAAGTAACAAAGGTAAAAATAAAGATAAGGTAAACGCTGAAATGTGTTTCATTAAGCAATGTCTTCCCTTTGCAATAACGAATTACTCAGTATTTACAACATAAACTATCAATCAACTATTTTCTATGCCTAACTTAAAAAAAATGCTTACAATTATTTGAGAAAGTGATAGACAATCATGAACTAAATAACTAGCTAATTCACTAAAAATATGACAAAAATATTCCTAATAACTAATTACAGAGTGTTACATTAATTGACTAACCCATAATTTTATATAATTGTTCTTACATGACTTGATCAACTCATCTACATGTTGATATTAGGAGTTCCAATAATTTCTAAGCTATCTAGCTCAGTTGCCAAGCTGAGTGTAAATAACTACTTGTTAGTCCATTCACTACTAATTAACCTTCTGTTGTCTTGCAATCAGCTATCAACTAATAACTGCTCTCACCAGATCAACTATCTCTAGATTTATTGTGCATAAGTTGAGTTTCAATTCGAGAAACAAAAAGTTCTTATACTTGATTCGTATCGACTTGTAACTATTTAATGAATTTGAACCTTAACTTTCACTGATATGCAACTACTAGTGGTGTACACAACCCAATCTGATTGAGTACTTTAGGTTGGATCTAAGGTTGTCCTTCAAGTAAATAAAAGTACAATAATGTCCCATTTATGAACCCTAATTTAGATAACAAGATTAGACCACCCTTTTACCCTATTTTAGATACAGCCACATAATTTCTTCAACTTATTGCATTACACATATAGGGTGAGACCTTTTCTATATGTTTATATCAAGGGAATTATTGCTCTGTCGATAAAATTAAATTTTTACATGTAAAGATGCAAAATACCAAAGCTAATGTTGGAAAGAATTGATAATTAATTTACAAATAGGAAAAACTAAAAAAAATGTGCTTCTGTATGTCCTATTTAATTACTGGTGACTTGTGTATATATCGGTTTTTTTTTTCTTAAAAATTGGAATGCTGACAAGAAATGTGTGACTAAATGTACATAAATTTGAATTGAATAATAATTATTTAATCAGATGAGTTAATATAGTTTCCACATCATTCTATGATTACGTTTAGCCCACGTTTTTTTATGCAAATTACCAGTCCTCGACCTTAATTAGACCTATAGTTATTGAGCTTTTTCAGCTTTAGGTTCGAATTTATGTTTAAAGAATTGGCCTAATAATTATAATTATAATTAAGGATGTGAAGGATCAACATATCTCATCCTAAGCCATTTTTATAAACAAGTACCTATTTGCATTAACGCTCAAGCTAATATTAATAGACGGGGTGAAAGATATAATCAAAATGTTTTCTTAGCGTGAATGATTAAAACTTGCATATAGAGGTGATTACGAAAAATGGGTATGTATAAGACAATACTCGATGTTGTATCTATACTTTATTTAAATATATATACTCAGACCCGTACTCACTTACCAATTTATCATTCAAAATATTATCAAAACAAGATTGAGTTTGGCGAGGCTATTTATATTCTTTAATAATCTTTAAACTTCTTCTTGCCTTTTATTTGTATTTTCAAATTTTTTAATTTAACAATAAATACCGATTATTAGCAAGTAATAACTCATTTCAAGAAATTAGGAAGTACAAAGAGCGAATTACAATTTTTCAAAATTATGATGTGCCATTTAAAAAATTAATAAACTACATTTATTAATTGATTTGACCTTAAAATTATAGCATACTTGTGTAGACTTCGAAATTATACATAAAAAATTTGGATGATCTAATTGAAATTACAATTTAAAATTTTTTATTCTTACAAAATTGAATTTGACCTTTTTTAGACATTTTATGTTTGGGTTAAGAATTACGTGTAGAATTAAAATTCTAAATTATATTGTGTAGATATAAAATCTAAAGTTTGAAAATAAAATTAATTTTAAATTTGTTACTAAAAATCCATTAAATATATTAATTGCTAAATATTTTAACTATAAACATATAATTGTTTTAAAAAAATTAATTGGGTTAGCTTGTTTAATCAATTTGACACTTCAAATTAAAAGGGGTTTTAGGTACCATGAGCTGAAATTGGCCAAGTTTGAGAAAAATTTGATCCATGAATTACAGCAAAATGACAGACAGTAGTGGATATGACAGTGGGAATATCAATAGTAGTGGTGACAATTATTTGTAGGGAGCTAGATATCATAAGAATTAGGAAAAAAAGAAGGTCAAACTACGTACATTCTCCTTCAACAACATGTACTCGGGGAGAGGAGATTTTTCATTCTTATTTTTTATATAAAAAATTAATAGTTTATATAAAAATAATAAATTATTTTATGTTAAATAAAAAAATTAATAGAGAAAGGTTTAAATTTTTTTTGTTCAATTTTATTTTTAATTTATATATATATATATATATATATATATATATTATTTAACTTTACTCTTTTTTATTTATCTAAGCAAGTAAGGAGAAATTTCTTTACCTTTTCTTTTCTTATTTCTATCCATATAAATAACATTTTTCTACTGTATTTTCTTTTGTTTTTATCCTTCATTTTCTTTTAGGCAAAGATAAATTTGACTTACTCTTATATATGTAGTCTGTACTATATTAAATTAATCTGGCAAAAATAGGAAGCACTTAAGTTTATAATATAATTGGATGAAAGGGAAAGAACAATGCCAACTGTTCAAACATAAATTATAAAGTAAATAAACTTGGCATAATCAATGTTGGCATCCATTTTTTCATCATATAAATTTGGCACCTACATGTTATCAATTCACTTGAATTTTAAAACTGCTCCTAAGGATATAGTATATTCGGGTGGACAAAACAATTGCACCCATGCCCGTACATGCAATTAAGAAATAATTATATTATACTGGAGAAAATTTCCTTAGACGACCAATGATCACTGAGAAGAGCTATGATTTGGTAAGCCCATTCCCTAAAAGTTTTTACTCAGCAGCATCGCTGGGAAGATCAGGGCCATGGGGAATCTTGCCGGGATAGTTTGTGATTGATTCGCTCGATCCAATCATACTGCAGATATAAAACTCGAGTGAATTTTCTGCATAAACTTGAATATATTGCGTTCTGCAAGTAAAATACTCACCCTCTATCAACGATAACCACTGAACGCAGCTCACAATTAGCAAAGCTGAAAAACAAAATTTTGTCAATTAGTCTTATGAAAGCCTAACTCAGGGCTTGTAAACAATGAGTTTTAGGTTAACACATTTCCGCTATATTATTATTATATATACATGTCTCCTAAGAATTTTCCTGAACTTCCAAAGCTATGGCTTTTTTTATTCCCATTTTTTCTATGTAACAGAATGATATTCTAAAAGGGTGAAAATAATTTTCACATAAGTCATTAACTCCATGATGAAGTCAGAAATTCAAGTTAGATAAGAAAATAGAAATGCAGAAGAAAAAGATACGAATGTCTGACAAGACCTCAGAAGCTACCAGAAACGAGTACATACTTAACGTGAATTATTGTAAAACAAGGAAAGGTGAAGTCATGGAGGTTCTTTAAAAATATATTTCCTTATCTTTTCTTAAAGAATTAAGATTGATCCCTCTGTGTTTCCGTAGACATTTTGTAAAAAGAACCATATTATTTATTATTTCCAGCATTTATCAAAACCAGATTATGCTGTTCATAAATTAGATAAGGCAATCCTTAAGGAGTAACGCTTACTGTCTGCAAATTTCGCTCTTTATATTTGGGTGACAATCATTACCAAAAGCACTCAGGGTATTGAACAGAAAACTGCTGTGGGTAACAACTGCTATCTCCTTCTCTTTACGTTTCCCTAACCTGGACCAAAAATGAAATTTGGGGAAAAGACGTCAGATCGTTGGTTATAGCCATTCTGCCACTAGTTGAACATATTCAAGAATGTGAGAACCATCTAAAAGGTAGATTTTGGCATTATTGTCAAAGTCCCTTTAAAATCTGAAGCAACAGAAACTGTAAGCAAGTTATTAAGGTGAAACGCAAAAATATGATGAAAATAATGTGGGAAGACTTAAATGACATGTGATTCACTCCATTCAAATTTTTTCTTATAGAACTTATTTTGCAAATATGAACCTTAATTTCAGTATGCTCAGGCCTCTTTGGTAAGAAACATAGATAAGATTGTTTTTCTTGTTAAATATGCATAGTCATTGGCAAAAAAACATAGATAAAATTATTTAATCACTACTCACCATTCCAAAAACTTCAGTCCCCTGGCAGTGACATCTTCTGTCTTCTCTCTAATGTCAGATTTCCATAAAACGTCCTCGTCACTTTTAATCTAAACAGATTTTATATTGTATGAATTTCATTCAACCAAATTCTAATTATCTTCTGGCAACCAGTGCATCAGAAGTCAGAACAAACTTGATTGTTTAGCTGCTAGACAAAAGTACAAGATAACAATGACAAGATCACCTACCTGTGAAAAATCAATTGCTGGAAACATATTCTTGTACTCGCTGATGGTTCTTCTCTTATCACAAGGATGAACTCCCTGCATTACGAACATAAAGCGATATACATACACATATTGATTTATATAGAAAATGAAATTAAAAACAATAGGAGGGAGGCATTTCAAACAATTTTCTTCTTAATCTTAATTAATCTTGTCACTAGCTACAATTCCTCTGGCCACCTACTTATATACAGAACAAGTAACATCCACTGGTTGTTTAATGAAGGGAAAGGGCTAGTTGAAAAAGCTTGCACGGTGAAAACTGCAAATTATAAAACATTTTATAATTCAAAGAAGCCATACCCACCCCATGCTATAATGGACCAACCAATTTTGGACGGTTTAAAAAGACTGGGGAAACCCAGTTGAAGATGTAATAATGTGATCGTAAGTAGTAACATACTAACAAACAATAATGGGTGATATTTGGACTAGCAAGTTTGATCTTATAGTTGTTCCAAACCCTTAAAAGGCTGATATAATGATGTGAAGTTATTTCAGTTAAGCAAAAGAAATAAATGTGCTGAAGATGAGGCTGGTAGACATGACTTTTATCTGTTTCCTCAAGCAGCTTTAAAGCTCAAGATGACAGCATCATGGTCTAGTAGCAATACTGTAAATTTAGGAGGTTGATATGTTTCCTAATTACTGATGCTGTTCCATCTTGACTTTAAGAAACCAAAGGATTGATTGATGTAAATTAGTTGGTTCAATCATTCAAAGTTTAAATCAACACAACACTCATGAAGCATCGCTGCATATTTATATGTACCAATTGCTCTCGGCAAAGCTCTACTGCTATAAATGGAGGGCAGTTCAGACTAGAAACTGCAAGATGATCACAATGTCCAACATTTTCCATCATCAGAGGAGGTTCACTAATCCCATCAGCGTATGCTTCACCACCAAAGACTCCAACTGCTGTTTGCATGGTTCTGCAAAGTAATAATTAGTAATTTCAACTAACAATAGCCCCAAACACAGGACTCTATATTCTCACTAAATGAAAAAAAAATTCAAAATGATTTCTTCACACTTTTCTTTAGTAGTATCATAATCCACTAGATCAAGTGCATCATCAACTAAAGGGTCAAATTCTATCTCAATATCAATATTTACACTAAGCTCATGTTTGATAACAAATTAATTTAGAGAAATAATCACTTATTTTTTCAAAAGCTGTCTTAGAGAGCTAGCAAAAATAAATGATAATTCTACAAAATGAGCTGAACCAAATGTGCACTAAATAACCACTTCCTAAAAGCCGTAGTGCAATCATGATTTTAACTAAATCAGTTCATGAAAGACATCATTCTAGAAGGTGTATACAAATAAGAAATACGTGCATCAGTGTAATAGACCAGCAGACACAAAATGTTGAAATTCAAAAAGTAATGTCAGATCTCTGCACTAATTATCTCAGTATTTGTGTTCTTTGATGCTGCAGGAGAAAAGATAAGAATCGGTTCATCCATGAAATCAGTAAGACATTTAACTTTTCACAAACGACATCCTAATTCTATTATAGCCAATTTCTGGTGTTTTATTAACAGTAGTTAGATGCCCATCTGGTCCCCAGTTTTTGAAGAACATATTACACATTTAATGTGTTTATTTGTATTTGTTTAAATAATGATTAACAAATTCTTTTTATTTAGTCACCAATAAAAATCATTGTCAGGTTTGGTTCAATAAATATTGCAGACCTTGTTCAGAAATACAATTTTAATAAGACAGTAAGTAAAAGAATAAACCTTGATACACGTCTTAGCAAAATTCTAAATTACAATGAAGTTATACCTTAACAACGGGGAAACAACAACGAGTTCAATTTTTCTGAAAAGTCCACATGCATTCACATGCTTTTGCAGATTGTCAACCTGTCATAGAGTCACAACGCACATTCTGCCATGACATTTAAAGAACAAAAAACTGACAGGGAAAAACTACGGAAAGAACTAGGTATAGATAGATCTATGCTAGAAGAAGATTATTATTGATTCATTCTTTGATGAGAAATCCAATAATGGAAATACCAGGACAAAATACATATTTATAATTGTGATAATTTTGAGGAGGAATTTGGCATAACATAAAATCCATCCAGAAATACTTGACAACATGAACTTCAAATTTATTTGACCGGCAATTACCTGCTTCCATCCAAGAGGGGTTAGGTGCGCATCAAAATAATCATAAGATGAGTATGCATCATGGTTCTTCTCTCCTGCTACATTATGAACCCCTTGGGCATGCCTAACCTGTGTACAAGTTTTTACAAGGCCTTAATGCTATCAAAAGTAATGAAAGTGATGAATGATCTCAGGAACCACAATACAACATGCACAACACATTAGCTGTGAGTACATATAGTGACTGAAATACCAAGTTCAGGGAATTTAGTTCATATCAACTGAATTTTCTGCACTTCCTAATCTTTTTGAAGATCACATAGTAAATTTCATCTTATAAAAAACTGGATTGGATAAGTTGGTTTGACTGGAAAACTAGTGAACTGGGTAGGACAGTGATTGAAACAATGCAGAAAGAGGAGGAGCAAAAATTCAGTGAAGATCCAGTTCAAAACTGATAGCACCACTGAAGAATCAATCAAATTGGTCCACAACTGCTGACAGAAAACTAGTTTGAACCCCTTTGTTTTAATATTTTTATATATTTTGAGACAAACAAAGGTCCATGAATGAATTGATGTTATTTTAACCTTTTTATTATTATTATTATTATTTATCTTGTGGGATATTTAACATGATCCATTTATGTTAATGTGAAAGTTAACATTGATTTTTAAAACGATGAGAAAAAAACAATTATGCTTCAAGGATAACAAACCAGGTGAATAGTTTTGCAACGGTGCAATGGATAGAGACTTTGACCTGCAGCAGCATCCATACCTGTAGTCAGATACAAAGAAAACAACAACAATAAAAAGTTATCAATGAAGGTTTCACTAAACCAGAGTTATAAAAAAGCAAAACAGGACGCCCTTGAGCAATATAAGACTAGATGTGCTAAATAGACAAACCAAACGCACAAATCACGCAATCAGTGTTGGTACCCAAAGCTAAGGGGCACAAAAACAAACAGTTGCAACTTGCAAGAATAAAAAGCAGCATAAATTTCCAAAAGTTGCAAACAAACACAATAAAAGATCGAGGAAAAGGGCCAAAAAGCTTAAGTTATTAGTTAAATACAAATGAATGGTTTTACATTACATCTCTAACATGTCACCACAAGCTGAGAAGTTCAAACGAAATTATAAAAAAACTTATAATCCTCATAAGATTTCTTTAATCTATCATAATGTTATCAAAATAAGTTAATTTTACCTTATTCTAACAAGTTTCATGATCAAAATTAAGTCATAATTCCCCACATGATAAAAGTTAACTAAAAAAATGACTTAAGAAAATTATTTACCTTAACACCCCTTTAAAAGCGTGAACAATAACCACCTATGCAGAAATTTAACTATCTGTTGTTATTAACAAAATGAAAGCGATTTAGATCCAACCGATAACTAGTTGATCGTAAAGGCTTGATATCATGATGGAGCATTTATTCCTAATCCTTGAAAAATTAATTAACGATGTAGATTTAACGAAAATCTACAAGCTTAGTCAAGGATCATTACAGAATAAACGTACAAACATAAAAAATGATTCTACAACGTTTGTGTGTGTGAGTGTGTAAAAGACGCGAAAGCGAAAGAACGCTGTGAATCTCCAAAATAAAAAAGGAATTGCACAATTTTGGAATTTGGAATCCGAATAAAACAGTGGGATTGAAAACTACTGTAGATGCGTGAGATTAACAACAATTTTAACTGTGGCTTTGAACTCACCTAAACAAATTAGAAAACGGAGCGTTTTATACAACGTTTAGAAGTCAGAACAAATTTAGGTGCGAGTGAGAAGCGAAATTGGACCGTATCAATAAAAGTTGAATCCAAAACAGAGTTGCTGATAGGTAAGCAAAGCGATAAAAAAGACGTCGTTGGAATTTGACTTACCAGAAGAAGAGATGGGCGAGGAGAGGGGTGGTTCGGTATAACGTAGAAACGGTAGGAGAAGAAGCAAAGAGCAGAGGAAGTTTATGAGTTATGTCGCCGGTGAGGGCAAAAGTGGAGTTTAACTTATCATTCGTGTCGTTCTGCCATCGCACGGAAAGATTAGTTTAATTGGCCGTAACGGTTGGCAGTTGATCTTACGTAAACTTTTGTTTTTTGTTTTTTTAATTATTTTTTTAATATATTTTTTTAAATTTTTGTGAAAATAAAAGAAAAAACAGACCAACTCGCTCTAAAAGCAGCAAAGTTTGTATAATTGGAAGAGGTGTACTCCAATGGACCTAATTAGTGCCCTAAACTATACCCAATCTATCATTTATGTTATTACACTCATGATTCACGTGAATAATGTCTACAGTCCAATTCATCATGATCAAATCTCTAACGTCCCTAAGCAAGTCACCATGAATAGCCAAAGAATTGGAGGTTGTATTCAATGCCTCATTGACTACCTCCAAGAAATATGATTCAAGAATTATATCTCGTACTCCAAGACACTAAGCAAATTGGAGACTTTGACACATGGCTAAAAGCTTCCCTCGTGTAGCATTACCATTCTCGACAGTTGCTAAGAATCCACCAAGCCCCTGACTCTGATCATCCTTCAGAACACCACCTATCCCCATATGACCAATATTAGGGTCAAAACTCCCATCTACATTAAGTTTCACCTTATTAGTTGGTGGGAGGATTCACTTGATTCTATAAGAGTATAACCTAGAGGCGCCTTCAGGGCCTAAAATATGAATGTACTCATCGTGGCTTATATAAATTTGACGCAACACATAACAAATACTCCATTTATCGTTATCAAAGCACATATTGTTTCTCCACCAGAAAGAGGGAAGTTTTATCTGAACTCACCATCATAAACACCCAATCATATACATCTTCACTATCAAACCCATGTACATGAACTATGTCAAGTATGTGCCAAACCTCTAGTGAATGCGAACAATGCTTAAAGACATGCATGATGTTTTCAACACTTCCCGAGCAACGACTACAACTAGCATTATCAGTCAAGTTGCAGCGCTGCCTGTAGGCATTAGTTGGTAGGGAATGAAGCATCATTAACTACGTTAGAAAGCAAACCTTCTTAGGGACTGATAACCACGTCGCAATGGTATCAAACAAGCTAAATTTTCTCAAAAAATTGTGCAATACAAGAAGCAAACCTAGGTCATCTCTCAAGGACATAAAATGCATTTTATTTTTAGTTCCATCATGCAATTTCAAATTAGATTGGGGGAGGATTTGTTTTGAATTTAAACGACAAAATAACAAAAACGAAAATTAAGGATTATGAAATTCAACTAATTCAAGATCTCAATCCCTACAATGCAATTCTCGTCGTTCACACAAATATAATCCCAACGAATTTTCAATCACACTAATTCAATGCGCATCAACAACCCTAAAATCTAAATCTAGATTATGAATTCCATCAAAACAAGAACCGCAATCGCAAACCCAATGCTTTAACAAAATTTAGAACAATTGATTGATTAAATTAGGTGAATCCAATTAATTCAAATATGAAATTAACCTATTCTTTCTATTTAGGATGCAACGAAAATTCCATATCATGAAAAACGTAATTAACCTAATTAGAAAAGAGGAAGGAAAGGAGGAATTCGATAAAACCTATTTTGAAACTCGAATGCAATGTAGTTTTTGAAACCTTGAACCGGTTGATGAATTAGCCTTGCTTCATAATCATGTTGCTCGACCAATTAGAGAAGGGGATGAAGTTTCCGAAAATAAAAGAGAGGGAGACGAGAGGAATCCTTACGAAAGCTTTTATTTAAAATTCTGAAAATTAAGGCAAAAAAGAGGGAAGAAGATCCCCACGCGAAATCATAAACCCTATTTAAAGACAAAATAATTGGGCTTAATTAAGGCCCAGCTTCCTAACGAGATTCCTAAAACCCTAATTAAGTAATGTCAACAATAAAACCAAATTCTGAAAAATTCATTGCAGGACCGCAACATTGTGACGCAGTTTTGGGCCTGAATATGTTCGAACTGGGCTTTTCTTGCAATAGAGAAGTTGTAGATCTCTCTCTTATCTTTCCAGGGACACCAATTTTGTCCAATTCTGAGTAGTGTAGCTCCAGATATGGTCTTTTCAAGAAACTGTGTCAAAACAAGAATTTATGGCGGGAATTAAGAAAGATTTAAATTTAAATCCTAAATGACTTACCAACACAAATCTAAACTAACACATTAAAATAATATACTAAAAAGACTCAATTAAATCGAAAACATAGAGAGAAAGATGTATTAAAATATGACTATCAGGGACGTGAAGATGCCAAACCCAACCCCAACCCCAACATGGCTCAGTTATCACGTGTGATGATGCATCCAACAACCACTCATACCCTTTAGCCACCAAATAGCTTCCTGAAGCAGCAGCTTTCCAATACTAACCCTTCTTCACACCCAAAGAAATACGTGGGATTGTATTTATGAAGCAAGTCTGAACTTGGTCATTTATGGGAGAAGCAAGGCCAAGTAAATTCCAGGTCTATTGCTACACGATGTCTTTCAGTTGTAGGTTAGTATCTTCAATATGAACATATGAGACCATATGACATAATTTTCCCACCTTTGCTCTAAATGGAGGCATCTCCCCATCCCACTAAGTAACCAAATCCCTTCTTCAACGCATTCTTAGCAAAAACAAGATTCTTCCAAACACACGACGCCATAGCTGAAGCTTTAGCCTCCATAACATGACCACTATTCAAATATTTGTGAGTAAATACCCGAACCCAAAGCTTATCCATGACTAAGATTCATCTCCTTGAATTTTTCTAAGTTAACAGATAGTCCAGAAAACTCACAGAACTCGCTAACAGTATCCATGAGGCCACCTTCACCTGTGATCTAGAAGCTTTAGTAAACAGTAACACATCATCAACAAACAAGAGATGAGAAATTGGAGGACCCCTTCTCGCCACACTAATCGAAGACCACACACCTTTATCAACCTTCTTTTGAATAGAGAGTGCAAGCATTTCCATGCATAAAACAAACAAATATGGTGACATTGGGTCACCTTGATGGAGTCCACGAGTCAGCTCAAACTGAGGTAATTTCTCATCGTTCCATAGTAAAGATAAGTGAGACGCTTTCACACACCACATGATTAGCTTCACCATAGGTAAAGGAAACCTGAAACACTTGAGGGTATGGCAAAGGAACTCCCAATTAATCTTGCCATATGCTTTCTTAATACCAAGTTTGAATGCCATAACACCTTTCTTCTTCTTCTTCTTCTTCTTCGTATTATGCATATAATGCGTGATCTTTTGAGTCAAAATTGCATTATCAGATGTGCCCCTTTGAGGAACAAAACTACCTTGAAGAGGCCCAATCAAGTTTGAAAACAGGGGCCTGATATGATTAGTTATCACCTTCGTAAGAACCTTATAAATCGTGTTACAAAGGCTAATGGGTCTGAAGTCTTTAAACTGATTCGGAAAATCCACCTTTAAAAGGAGAACAATAAGAGTTTTAGCTATTCTAATATCAGATTCCCTATTTCAGAAGGCAGCATTGGCAATCCTCCATAGATCCATACCCACTTTATTACAAAACTTTTTGTAGAAGTAAGGCTAGAAGCCATTTGCACCTGGGACCTTCATAGATCGCATGCTCATTAGTACTGACTGAACCTCGTTCAGTGAGACATGTATTAACAACCATTCCTTCTCTTCTTCAGTGATCTTAAGGATTCCTTCTACTCTTATCGCACAATCACAATTCAATTTTGTAATGTCTCAGATTTTGTAATAATAATATTATATATATATATATATATATATATATATATATATATATATATATATATATATATATATATATATATATAGAAATTTTCATGTATTTGTATGTTTGAGTATGTAATGATGATGTGAATGCATGATGTGGATATATGCGTATACGTGAGATGAATGTGGATGCTGATTGTGTATTGTGATTGAATGTGCTAAATTGGTTGAAAATAGGTTAAGTGAGTATTTTTGTGGTGTTCTTGTTGTAGCGAGAAGGCCCTGAGAGAAGGGAGTGAGACTGTAGTTTTCTCACTGTAGCGAGAGAGTAACAGTGAGGGGTGCATTTCTGAGTGCAGTCTCGCTGTAGCGATACTGTTTCACTGTTACGAGATTCTGTAGAAACCAGAGTGCAGTTTTCTTTAAAATTTTTGCTGTAACAAGAGAGGGTGTTGCTGCAGTAAGGTCCATCTCGCTGTAGCGAGAATGTCGTGACATCTTGTGTATTTAAGGAGTTTATGATTAGGAAAAATGCATTTCCAATTTCCTCTCTTCTCTCTCTCGTCGGTTCTCTCAATCTTCAACCTTTTTCACTGATTAAACCACCCCTTAAGCCGTTTGTGCCCTAGATTGAAGATTGAAATCGTGTTTGAAACACTTGGAGGTGAATATTTTGAGTTAGGGTTTTCAATTTTTACTCTTTCTTCATCCCTCTTGATTTCTCATGGATTATTCCATGTATTTAGGGCAAGAATTCGTGTGAGAGGTGTTTCTACCATTGATTTCGTGGTGGGTCTTCATTCTAAGGTAAGAAGAGTTAATCCCAAACTCTAATTTCTCTTGGGTACTTTGAATTTGATGAAAAATCCTAATTACTTTTATACTATCTAAATGTAACTTGTAATAAAAAGTTCTAAATAAAACTGTCTCTGAGGAACACAATGATTTTACTAAGTAAACATTGTTAGGAGTAGTTGGGGTATGCTATTTGATGTTTTTAGAATAATGGATTATACTAAACCTTAGAATAGACAACTTTATTATTGTTAAGATAATGTGTATGTCGGATCGTACGATTGGACTGAGTCTGGAAGTGTCTGACCTCCAGCACATTGTGATGATTGTGTGATGTGTGGAATCTTTTGATGATATTCTGTGTTGGATGAATGTTTGTTGATGATTGAAGCATGTTGAGACTAGTTGATAA